GCCCGCGGGATGTCAGATGATCTAAAGAGAGCTTCATTTTCATTCATTTTAGTTTTCTAGTTCATTTGGCATCTACAGGTGCTAGGTTACCATAACATACCTGTAAGTTCCTGCATCATCTGTCTTCTCAGGAAAGCATGACTCTTAAAATAAACATTATTTCAAATGGAACTTTTACTGAGAGAAGGTGATTGCAGAGAAGCCAGGCAGAATCTGAAGTTCCTGCGCAAATTGTGAAGCTAATTTCTGCTTGTTCAAACCCCACCCCAATGCCCCAGTCCATCAGGAGCCCATCCGCTGGCATGAAGGTGTTTTGAGAACTCTGAGAGGAGAAGGTGAGAACGTCGTCTTCTTGGTGCCGCGACCTTGGTAACAGGCTGAAACTGGTCAGAAAGGAGTTCATCCTGATGCTCCTGATGGCCCAGTCCCCCTCCCTATTTCCCATACAGATACATCAAAGCTAAAGCAGCAAATTCTCAATCCCCAAGTAACAGTCCCCCTGCCAATACCTGTATAAAGGTGTCAACAGAGAGACAAATGAGCATGGGTGTGTTATTATTTTGAAATTTGGGTTAATTATACTAGTATGATTGGGCTTTTTAGCAACTGTCTTCATTGTTCAGGCTGGTAGGGGTTGCCAGAAGTTACAGTTAGCAATATTACATGGACCACAAGTTCTTCAACCCTGCAGGTTGAAGAGTAGGAGTGCTCAGAATATCAGTGGGACATCATCCTTTAGGGCAGGGGTCTCCAATCCCGGGTCTGTGGACCAGTACCGAGCCGCGGCATACCAGCAACTGGTCCACACAAACAATCAAGGCCCCATCCATGGGATGCAGGCAGCACACAAAACCACACCCCCTCCAGTCCACGGAAAAACCTCTCTCCACGGAGCCGGTCCCTGGTGTCAAAAGTGTTGGGGACTTCTGCTTTATGGCTGGCTGAAAGTAAGCTAGAGATATGAAAAATATTGTGACCTATTTCTGGAACATATCAGAAGTTCCTTTCTCCCCCTGGAGCTCTCCACCAAGTGATTGGGGGATGGGGCAAGGTGTTCATTCCATAAATGAATCTTCAAGAACAAGAAGTGGGTGATAAGTGTTCCAGACATGGCCCTGCTTTGAATTGTTGACCTAATAAACCTTCCAAGTACATTTCAGGAATGAAATATTTAGGTTTACAGACAGCTAAGGGTTAAAATATAGCTTGTGACAAGCTATGGTTTAACCTGATGACATGGTTCACATAATACATTCATTTAATAGCTAGATTTCTGCAACTTCATAGGCTACCCAAGTTTTTTTAAAACCCATTTGGCCCAGCCTAAAAATGAGCCCAGACATTATACATCAATGTGATGTCCAGAGAAGAAAGAAAAAAGGAAAGCAGACATGATATATAATTAGGGTAGATGTTTAGAAAATTCAGACTTTAAGGTGTCATATAACCATGACACGTTTCATATATGTTACCAAGTGTCTGAAATAGAAGTAATTGAATAAACCCCAATCAGCTGTGTAGTACCTACAAATTATCAGCCAGATAAAAGAACAATTATAGCTTAGACAAATGCAGGATTTCAGCCATTGTCTGAGCATCCTTTCAAGTAAAAAGATTGTTGACTATTCCATATTGATCGTCCAGGTCTCCCCAGCATGCCATGGAGCTCAATTCTTAATGGCTTGCCACAGGACATGGTATGCCAAATCAACCAAAGGAACTTCATGGAAGTAATCTCTATCAGGGGGCCCCAATACCCAGGCTACAGACAAATACCGGTCCATGGACTGTTAGGAATCAGGCCACACACCTGGAGGTGAGTGAGCAAAGCTTCATCTGTATTTGCAGTCACTCCCGAGCGCTAGCATAACCACCTCACTCCACCTCAGATTATCAGACATTAGATTTTCATAGGAGTGTGAACCCTACTGTAAATTGTGTATGTGAGGGATCTAGGTTGTGTGCTCCTCCTCCCCACCCTAGTCTATGGAAAAATTATCTTGCATAAAACTGGTCCCTGGTATCATGTCATATCATATCACATCAATCTATCATCTATCATTTCTCTATCTATCTATCTATCTATCTATCTATCTATCTATCTATCTAATCTATCATCTATCTATCATCTATCTGTCTGTCTATCTATTTATCTATCTATCTATCTATCTATCTATCTATCTAATCTAATTAATCTAATCTAATCCAATCCAATCTAACCTAACCTAACCTAACCTAACCTAATCTAATCTAATCCATCTTCGTAGGGTGAAAGAAATCATGGTTTAGAAATCAGAGACTTGCAATGTTGCCAAGACCAAACAAGAAACTACTATATGGCTTAGCAGTGTATATCTCATTGCACACATGATGGTGTGCTACGGCTCTATAGAATGTAAAAGGGTACAATTAAGTATTAGGTTTTATTAAATCAATGGAAGTCTTTCAGTAAAACAGGTGAAACCTTGAGTTTCCAAGAACATTTCATCAAATAAATTGTTTAAAAGCCCAGGCAAAAGCGATCTTTTTTTTTTTAAAAAAAAAAGAAACCCAGGCAATTATTTTATATTTCAGACACAGATTATTTAATCAACTGTCAATCCAGGCAGGACATGGCTTAACTTTAGGAAAATGCTCCAGGAACTTTCAAGGTTGGAATTTGAACTCAGTTCCGTAAATCATCAAAACAATAATACAATCCTATGCAAGTCTGTTAAAAAATATGCAATTGCAGGTCAGTGTGTAAAGGACTGCAGTCTTGGCCTTCCTTCCTAATCCATTCTTCCTCCATGGTTGATTCAGCTTCTTTAGTACAAAAATAAGAACTGTTTAGATTGGAGATGGTTCATTTCTGCTCTCCTGGCATTTTAATGAAAGTCTCAATGTTGTGCTTGATGGAATGGCTATCTTTGTATGCCGTTTACTTTTTGATACAAATTTTTTTTATTCCAGGTCCAATTTGCCATTCAAAATATTGCCTTATGGTTTATTTCTAGGAAAGGTTAATATGGCAGGAGCATAAGTTCTAGGAAAAGTTAATATGGAAGGAGCATAAGTTCCATAATTTCCTTTGCAGACAATTTCCAGTAATATATCAGTGATGGCAGTAACTGTCTTATACGCCTATTAAAATATTTCAAGATCTGTACTGCATTAAATCCTAGAATACTGTAGATTCTTAACTTCTGTCGGTCAAGAGTGATGTGCCTTTCTTAAAAGTTAGATTTTCAAAATGATACAGTAGGTGTAAAAACATCACAACTAAGTCTCCAAAGTCATGTTTGAACTGAGGATGGATTGCTGTTCCAAACATTGAAGACAAATACCTTATGCAACTTCCACAGAGCTGGGAAATTATCCACCAATCAGCATAATTGTAACACTAACCAATAGGCAACATCGCTAACCGGCAACATCACTACATCGATTGACCTATTCAGCTACATCTTTCTACTCAGGAAAAAAGTAATACTTCTGAGTATTACTTGGAATTAGATGGACCATGGTCTGATCCATCAAGGCAATTTAGATGCTCTTAAGTTACAAATGAGGCAATTAGGCAGTAACTATAAGAGGATTCATACGAATCCAGATTTCACCCTCATCTAGTAAGGTGCCAATGCCAAATAAATCATTAGGTGAGACATTACAGATCCTGTGAGATCCTCAGTTCAATATTACAGATCTCATTAATCATTAAAAAAAAAGGGTGTTCATCCCTGTGCAAAATTAATTGGCAAAAACATGTGGCAGATAATCGGTAGCCCAGCCTACATCTCATTTTAAAAGAAGAGTTAGATAGTAACTATGTACAAAATGATTGATTTTATGATTAAATGTATAATAGTTTATGTGTGTAGCATTTGATACATAAAGGCTCTCATTTTGTGTCATCTCTAGCATATTGGATTATTGCTTTTACTGCTTGATTAGCATACAATAAAATAAGCCACTAGAAAAACCTGCTTCTGATTCAAAGGATCAGTAGAAAGACATAACACATCTGTACATAGCTCATGCGAGTGATAATTCTTTAATAGTGATACCTCTCTAATTCTCACTGGAGCTGTTATGCTAGAATTGGAGTGGGGCAAAACACTTGATTTTCCAGGTTTGGTCACTGTAGTGGCGCAGCAGTTAGAGTGCAGTACTGCAGGCCACTTTAGCTGACTGTGTTCAGGAGGTCAGCGGTTCAAATCTCACCGGCTCAAGGTTGACTCAGCCTTCCATCCTTTCGGGGTAGGTAAAATGAGGACCCAGATTGTTGGGGGCAATGTAAATATATATATACATTGCTTACTGGTGTACACCGCTTAGAGAGTGCTTGCACTTAAAGCGGTATATAAGTCTCATAAAATAAATAAATAAAATAAATATGGCTGTGTCTTTTGTACTACAACCTAGTCCTAGTCCTTGTAAAACAAGAAAGCAAACTGAAGAATATATTCAGCTTCTGAGGCAGAAAATACTGTATTTGTAGTATTAAGTATCAAAGCAGTGGGATACAGATTCAAAAAGGATTCTTGAGATATCTATAGGTAAGAAATAAGCTTTGCAGAGAGAAAATCAGGGTTTGTATTTCTAGAATCAAGATTTTCTTGCTGTCGATATCCCACAAAGTAGAGACGCAAGGTTGGGGAACTTTCCCATGCTGTTCTGCAAAATCAGTGCCATGTTGCAACTGACCCCATGTGAAGAGCACAATGAAATTTCATTTAGTGTGTTTACTCAGAGAGCGACTTCTGTCCACTGTACATCAAAATATGTTATTGTAGCATGGGAGATTTCAATGAATAAACCAAGTGACTGACAAAAAGACTCCTGTGAAATTATTAGAGACCAACTTTATCTTAATAATAATAAAAAAAGAGAGTCTCACTGGAATAACTGAAAGCTCTCCCCCAAAGGAAGGAAGAGATATTAGTGGGAATTTCCCCTAGATAATAGGCTTGGGTCTATAGAAATCCTGTTTTGTCTTAGTTAGATATTACGATATGAAAAACAGAATGAAGCAGATTTATTGAGTGGAAGCAGGAAATTGACAATTTTGCAAGAGTACTCCTGAACTTGCCATTTTAATAAACAGTACCTTCTTTTTTTCTGTTCCGATGGAGCAAAAATGGAACCAGATTCTAGCAAATGCATGGAGCTAAGACCAAGCTTTTATAAAGTTGTGCAGAAGAACAAATCTAACCCCTTTAAGAGTTCCCAAAACTGTGGGTGTGCTCTCTTGTTCTGCATCTTACCCATACTGCTGAGTGCAGTGCTAGTGACTTCTGGCTATCAGCAAACGCGTGTCTGTTCTGTTCCATTATTCTAAAATGAAAGAAAACCCTCCTCCAGGCAAAGCTGAAAACTCAGTTTCTTTTGAAGTCTAACTCTATCTCTATCAATCTGTCGGTCTGTCCATCCATCCACCTATCCATCCACCCACCCAGACATGTGACTAGTTAAGAAATTGTTTTAATCTGCCAAAAATATAGGCAAAGCTAGACAAACCAACTTTCTCAATCCATATTCCAGATTTATACAATCTATCAAGTCTACTGCAAGCCAGTTTAGCATGTTTGATTAAATAACTACACTTATAAACTCATTTAATATAGTACAAGTATGAAATCATGTAGTGTCATGGTCAAGTTCTAGTCTAAGGAAACTCATTTGAATGATTTTGGGCAATGTCTGACTTAATGCTAAATCATTAGGTTGTTTCTTTAGGGCTTAGTATAATATGTGATGCTGTCAATGATGGTGAAGCCATTGGGTTTGACTAATCATTTGGAAATGAGCTACTGGGTCCCATCAGGATATATGTCATAACATTTGTACTACAGAGACAAAATGGAGACTTACAAGTGTGCCATCCTGAAAACTTAAGATGAAGGTCAGAAAATAAATGAAATAATAAAAATAATGGCCTTTGATTCATTACACAAAGGATCAATATAATAACAATGCATCAATCCAGTAAGAACAAAAAGCCAAAATCTGTTAGAAATACAGTTCCAAATACACTTTGATTTTTTTAAAAAAAAAATTGACTACATTTTTATTATTTTGCATTAACTAATCTGAGTAAACTATTCCTGCATCTCTCAGAAAATATCATGTTACTGACCTTCCATGGGAAAGATCAAAGCAACAAGAAAAAGTTATTATAACTGACCTGTTGGTATCAGTCAGATAAACTAGTGACACATTTTTGCTCTGTTTGCTTTTCTTATTGGGCTTATCAATGGGGTTTTACAAACAGAACATTAGTCACAGAAGGATCTCGTAGGAACAAGGGAGATGGGTCAACAACAAGAGCTGATTTGGATTTTGCTCATTCATGATGACTCCCTTTTCAACATAGCACTTCTGGTTTGCCGTTTTGTGGATCCCGTGGGGAGTTTTATCCTCCTACAGCAAGAATGTGACTCCATAAGAATTTCATACACTTCAGATAGAAAGAATGCTGTGAATTTTTCAAGTCAGGCAGCTTATTTCAAGCTGGAGTCCCTGGATTCCTCAGATACTGAGGGTTAAGGAGTCATTTCTTAGATATTCATTTTGCTACATATGACTTTTACTGCATACTTTTTTGGGGGGGAAATACAGGATGATTTCTCCTTAGATTTCTTTATTTAATACCCTTAATATCCATCTTAAACACAATTCAAAGTAGAACAATTCTGACATAGCAAGATAAACAGAAATATAGAACAATAACATTTTCTGCTTTTGCAGTTACAACATTAAGCAGAACCTTAAGCACTACAGTGTACTTGCCATAACACAGTTTTTTTAAAATGATGTAAATCAAACTATATTGCTTATTTTAACAAAGCAAAACAAGGGTAAATTAAAGAATCTCCATTGAACAATTGTTTTATAATACAGAGTTAACTCAAAGGAAAACAAACCAATGTTGCAAGCCTATCATGCTCCCTAGAATACATGAAAAAAGGCATACAGGTTATACTAATGTGAACTGGACTGCCTGTACATGCCAACATTCTTCAAAATAACTGTATATAGCCCTTAATTTGGTCCATCCAGGATAGGTAGATCTAGGATCAGTTCTTGCTGCTCTGTAAAGCTTCTATTATAGTTTTGTTATATTCTGCAACTTCCTTCATCACATTCTTCATTATGGACCGGTAGTCACTCTCCTGGCTTTTTGTAGCAATAACTGATTATATCAATTAAGGAAAAAGTTCTCCAATAAATAAATATAAAAGCTACCAATAAGAAACCACACTAACTCCTAATATCTAAAGAACTGAGGCCATACCAAAAAAAAATTAGATATCTCTTTTTTTGACTGTATCATTTTGCCAAGCAGAAAGAAGGCATCCAGGTTGAGAAAACTCAGGGCAAGTTTTCAACAAGAATTGTTCTCAGTTAATAGCAAATTAAGCCAGCTATTGCCGCCGACAATATGGCAGTAGGTTAAGCTGTTGCAATAACTCTTGATTTCAGGTTAAACCTCACACGATTCAATTAGCAAAAATTATTCTTTTCTAAAAAAAAAATCAATAACCACCTCTGAACAAATCCAATCTCTTTGGAGGGAAAAGAGCTGCAGAACTTCCACACAGGTGATAGTAATTTATAGAATTACTATCTATAAATCTATCTATCTAGCTCTCCCCCACCCCCTATCATGTTCCAGGGTCAAGAAATTGAGAATAGATCTGATCCACCTAATAGGTACTTTCATACAATACAGAAAGATGCTTAAAAATCACAGGCAAGCAAGTACAGTTCTTTTTTCCTGTCATGCTTTAGTGTGTTCACACCTGGATTTACCACTGATGCCAGCTGTAAGAATAAGATAGGCCAGATGTTAAATTACATCATGTTCCTGTGTACAGAGTTGTACATGATACTACCATCCCTCCACTTTGTGTGCTATGTATATCCAATAGTCAATGCTATTGATGCTAAACATCTTAAAGGCCCTTATTACACAGCTTCGCCTCACTGTGACTTCATTGACTCTTTTTGGCCAAGAAAGAGAAAAGATTTTTTAAAAACTCTGTAGGTGTGATCACAGAGAATTCACTGTTACACAAAATCTACTCAGCAGTGAGAAGGAACATGTCAAGCACCAGGGAAATCAGGAGATCTGGGCAGTTCAAATGTGTATAAAGATTTATTGTAAGCTTAAGCTCTTTTCAAGATTCTGAACTACTAATGGTCATGGGAGATTAGCAGGGGTTAAGAATAGAAAGGAATTCAAGATGGGCTGGACTTAGATCTCTTGTGGATGCAAAGGGACTCATAACTGATGACACATTTGACCCCCTCCCACAGGTTCAGCCTGGTCATCTCCTACAGTACAGTGGAAACACATATGTCATTGGTAAATTCATGTTTGCTGTAGTTATTTGGAAATCCACCCCAGAAAATGGCTGACTAGTAAGAACATTCAGTTTCGCAACTACTCATTACCCATCTGAAGCTTCTATTGGTCAAATAAACCAATAAACCTTGTAACAAAGAAGCAACCATCACCTATTCTAAACCAACTGCTGTCCACAAGTCTTAAAGTTGCCAAGGTTGGAGACCCCTGCATTACACAATAAGTAGATTATATTTTTGTTTCACCATGATCCCAGAAGTTAGACAACATTCAACAAGTTTCAATTTATGCACCGGTTTTACTCTATTATTAAACACGGTGTAATTTGTAAGTGACTGATGTGTGCTGGTCAGAAAAAAGAAATCTGAACCAAATGTATTCAGAATAAATGTCAGTACAGTTTAATAAAGACTGATGCTTTGCAGGAAGCAATAGTGATAATTTGCAATATTTGACAACAGTAATACTATTTATGAAAACAAGAAGGATACATTCTTTCATAACAAAATTATTTTGTTCATGGTGTTGCCACTTCCTTTCCAGATTTGTAAGCTGAAGGTAGAAAACGAAAAATATGGTAACAACAGGCATGAAAATTGTACTTCCATTTTTTAATACAAGACTGACCTCCCTTCTATTCAACTGTTTAGCTATGTTGCTTAAGCATTCTGATTAAGACTAATTGCAGTGTAATCTTCTCTCTCTGTATGTACATATGTGGTTGCATGTATGCATGTGCGTTTGTGGACACACACACACACACACACACACACACACACACAGGTTTAATGGTTAGGGTACTGGCTTAGAAACCAGGATAGTGCAAGTTCTTGTCCCGCTTCAGATGAACTTGTGGGCCAGTCATTCTCTCTCAGCCCAACCCACCTCACAGAGTTGTCATTGTTAGGAAAATAGGAGAAAAGAATATCGTATACGTTCACCATCTTGAGTTATTTATAAAAACAATGAAGACAGGTTAAAACTCAAATAATGACACACAAACTTATTTTTATAGTGACAAACTATTAAAATAACAACTCATCACAATGAAATTTGTTTTATGTAAGGCAAAGAATTTTCCTAATCTGTTTTGGGTTTTTGGGGGGGGGCGGGCGAGAGAGGTCAGTAATTATTTCCAAAATATCTTACACATATTAAACTCTAATATGCTCTGCACTATGAGGGAGAAACTTCCTCACTTCCATAGCTGAATTTCCTGTCTGATGGCAGAATGTGCGATTAAGAACCGGTCTGTGCTGAGAATAGTCTAACACAATAAGTTTAAACAGAGGAATTTTAGCCATTCCACTGAGCATAAATAACAAGGTTATATGGTTATTATATTTATGGCTGTTTCCTAAAAATACTAGCAACAGTTTGCTTGCCTGATATTACTGTTCAAACTTTTGGAGCCAAAACATGTAGGCTCCTTACAATGAAACTTTCAAAAACACTGCGTGGAAGTCAACATGTTTACTTTAAGAATATCTCACTGTAAATGGAAAATGAGAATATAAACCATTGTACACATCAAAACAACAATTGCCCATTAATATTTGTGTTGGAAAAAACACTTTAAATTTTATTTACCAGTAAACTTTAAGATACCAAATACCAAACAACAAGCATCATGTTTTATAATTAATTGTTTTCTGTGCCATGCTCAACATCAAAAGTTATCAATTCATATTATAAAATTTTATATAACTTTCACACACCCTATATTATTCCAATACAGTAGCCATTATGTTCATTTCAGAAAGTTGAGTTCCATCCTCCTTTTTAATTCAAATCTGCCGTCAAATGTATTTACAGATGTTAAAACACTTGTCTCAAGAAGTTGTGAAGCAATTCAGTGTATCCTTAACAATTTACCTGTGCATGTGTTTCATTCTCCTGGAGCTGCAACTTTAGGCCTTCATATTCTCTATTCAAATGTTCCATAATTTTCTTGAATGCATCCCGGTGTTTGGTTAATCTTTCTTTCTCTTCTTGGAGTTTCTTAGCATGAGAAAATAATATAAAATCAAACGACTCAAGGAGGGAAAAAGTACTTATGTTTATAATTAAGTCTGTAGCACAGCGTATTCCATAAAGACTACATAAAATGAGAAAAAACTGATTTTTCCAAGTATGATTAAAGCAACCAACCTTTGGTTTTAAGTTATTCTATTTTTTAACAAGTGGAAAAATAGAAACCTGAAGATTTGCATGAATTCTGACTTCTAATTTCTTTAGAAATTCATACCTTTTATGTGAATCATTTCTTTCTCTTTCCCTGTGTTCAGGCACTCACTGTAGATTTAATTTTGATTCCCAGCCAATGTTTATGAACACATTGGCTTCTGCTATTTTTTCCTAGCTTTTACTTTCTAACACATTTCCTCTTCTCATAAAATCTTTTGTTCAATGTAATAAATGGTACTTAAATGCTGAAACACTTGATATAAATAATGCACAATTAGAATAAAGGATCTATGGGATTACAGGATCATAAAAAGGGAGGTACTATTACAGATCTATCAGAAAGATAGAGTAGGATAAAACTGGAATGGTTAATAACATATTGAAGGAGGATACAACAAAGTCCAATCCCTCTGACTCAAATCAAGCATGTTGTCCAATAAAACGTCAACTGGGGAACAGCTCTTAGCATGAATGGGAAACAGAAGGGATTTAAATCTAGATTGCATTTATCAGTTACCAAATATTTAAAAAATTGCTGAAGTGAATCTGCAATTTTTTTCCATTGGGGAAAGTGTGGCACAAAACTATCATAGCTATATGTACTTTTTAATCTATTAAAACTAAGAACAAAAGGAGCAGTCATAAAATGGGATGCATTGCTGTCATACAGTATAAGAAAAACACAAAAGGATGAACAGTGCTTCAGAAACAAATGCTAGTGCAAAAAGTATAGGCATGGCTGTTTATCTAGTATACATAGTTATTGTCACAGAGCAGTGTTTGTTGAAAGAATTTCACTAGCTGCTGATTTAACTGAGTTTAAAGCTTTAGCCTTAATGTATATAAAACTTTATGAGTTCCCTAAATTAAATGTCATTATCATGGATCCAAGGAAATGTGCCTTTTCTATCACAGCCCCTCTCCTTTAGAATAGCATTCCCCCAGATATATGTATGGCTCCCACTTTTCCAGTCTTTTCTAAGTCCCTTAAGACGTGGTTCTGCTTCTGGGACTGGGTTTAGGGTGTTTGTGGACCCTCTGCCATGGTTTTTTTTTTTCCAGATTTTGTGAATGCTACTGTTCTTGAATTGTTCAGGAAGTTATGTTTCATTATGCTACATTTTAACTGTGTTTTAATTATACATTTGATATTCTGAAAGATACCAAAAGTTTCCTTGGAATTATGGTTAGGGTTATGTCTGCATCATATCAGAGTCCTTTCTGCTTATATCTATCAGACACCTTCTTAGTTGTGTCACATCCTGCAGATATTTGCCTGGCAGGAATAGGATTTTTTTGCATTGTGTCTTTCTGTTGAATGACAGGAGATAAGCCACCTATTTAACTCATTTTCGCATTCCAACATTTTATATTTATTTTATATGCCACTGTTTTATATTGTACCTTATTTACCCATTTATTACAGTGTTATTTACTGTTTATTACAATCATAATACCAAGCAGGAATACCATAGAAATAGAATTAGAATTCACCATATAATTTAGTACTATAAATTATGATAACATATTTAAGCTAAGAGAACAGTAAATACAAACACTGGTGAAGGTGGAATAAAACCCAGGTGAATTTCCATACCAAACACTATTAGCATTTAACCTAACTTCAGTCTTGCATTTTATATTTTAAATTTTGTGTCATGGAGCATGCCTTATTTTAACTGTGATGCTTCTGACATGAATAAATAATAAACAAACATAATATCAAGCTATTTTGTATTACTGGCAGCATACAGACTCTTTAAATTATCATTTACACCAAGTGCTGCTCCTTGCAAGCCCTTTTAGTTCTGTAAGGTAAGGAAATATAGTTGGGATAGCCTGAAAATGCACCTTCTTACAAAAAGAAAAAAAAAAGCAATGGGAAAGTGATTTGGAAGCAACTGATCCCACTGCAAGAGAAAACCATCCATTCCTACAAGGAAGCATCACTAATTTTAACAGCATTTCTTTCAAGTGAGAAAATTTTTGGCTGTATAAGGAAAAAGTTAAAGGCTATTTTTTTTTAAAGAAAATAGTTTAATGACTTTTCAGTTTTAGGCATAAAGTACTTTCTAAGCAAGCACTTTTGAAGTATTTTTGCTTAGTCTGACTATTAAGCTTCTACTGGGAGGAATGGGAAGCCATTTGAAGCAGCTGGCTTGTATCTTGAGTTGCAGCAGTAAATATGTGAGTATTACAATTGTTTTGAGTTATTACTGACACATTCAAATGCCTCTGCCATGCTCGGATGGGATAAGATTAGGCGAAATAGCCCTGCCTTATTTCACTGCGCCGTTAACAGTGCAAGCCCTACTGGAAGCGGTGGAGCATAGTCCTCCAAAAGTGAGTATAAGACAGCAGTTTCTATATATAGGTTTTAGCAGGCTGAAGATGAATTAATGCCAAATATTTTAGTCTGTATTTTGAAGAACTGGTTCTCAAACATATTTCCCAATTGGTTTTTTTAAAGAGTTGTCACACAGAAGAGAGAAAGCGAACTTGTTTTCATTGCCCCAGAAGGAAGAATCGGAATCAGTGGCTTAAAACTATAGGTAATCCTCCTTTACAGATAGTCCTTGACTTACAACAGTTTGTTTACGACTATTTGAAGTTACAACAGCACTGAAAAAAGTGACTTATGGCCGTTTTTCAGCTTTACGACCACTGAGCAACCCCAGGGTCAAGATAAACATTCAATGCTTGGCAACTGACTCATATTTACGATGGTTGTAGCATTCCAAGCTCATGTGATCCTCTTTTGCAACCTTCTAAACGAGCAAAGTCAATGGGGAAGGCAGATTCACCGAACAGCCGGGTTACTAATTTAACAACTGCAGTGACTCGCTTAACAATCGTGGCAAGAAAAGTTGTAAAATGGGACAAAATTCACTTAATCAATGTTTTGCTTAGCAACAAAAATTTGGGGCTCAATGGCGGTCATAAGTCGAGGATTACCTGTATCAACCCCAACTGGAACTGGCAACTTGGCCTTTAAGCGGGATCACCACTAAGTAAAACTTCGACTGCGCTTACATGTTTTACTTCAGTTTTCCTTTGGTTTACAGATCTGCGGAGGTCATAAATGCGAGAATAGGTTGCAAAGCTACTTTTTCCTCCCCACTGAAAACAGTTGCTAAACAAGGCAGTTGCCAAAGAGAACTACCTATAGTACATAAGAAAACTGGACTAGACAACAGGAGGAATTTCCTGACTCTATCATCCAGCGGAATAGCCTACCACACAAAGTGCCAAGTTCTCCTATGCTAGATGTCTTCAAAGTGAGCCTTGGGGATCATCTATCAGCGATATTCTAGTTAGTAGATCCAGTAGTAAGCAGGGATTTGATTAAATGACTGCCAATATCCCTTGCAACTCTATGGTTTTAGGATTTGGACTGCTAATTACCTTTTTCTTTTCTTCTCCTGTTGTTTTCAGAGCAGGCAGATTGTTATATACTTCCAGGTCCTTGCTCATCTGTTCAATTTTTTCTTTGAGTGAAGTTAGTTCATCGACCATCTTTCCCTCCAATAATCCCATCTTCTGGAGGTCCATCTGGAGTCGCTGACTATCTATAACAAAGGGAAATGGTCTAGGATGCATTACTGACATACAGTAAGATTGATTTTCCATCACAAAAAATATTTACTTATCCAAGAAGACAACCAAGTCCTGCTTGCCTTATTCACCCTGGCATTGGTCCAGTAAAGCTCTCAAGAATGTTATCTTTTGCATACAAATATCTATTATCTGATGAACTAACAGTATGGCAAATACTGGTGCTGAAATAGTTTACTGCTTGTAGCAAAAGCTGCCAAACTGAAATTAAGATTGTTATGCTTCACTTATATTTGTGAATAAAATGAAGAACAATAAAAAAATAATTCCATTGCCTTCTTTAGCTTTAAACTATCCAAAATGTGATAAACTCCTAGTGATTGTGCTGGTAATTTAGAAAAAAAAAAGCAGATTACTATAATTGAAGCGTTCAAATAACAGCCGATCCTTTGTTTAACAATTTTGTTGACCCACAATAGAATCCATCTGGTATACAGCTTTGAGGTCATATTTTAAAAATGTTTTTAAATATTAAACTTACATCCAGCTGCTACACAGTGCATTCTGTGGTCTGACCATTTTATTGTAAAACAGACCTGATAACATCAAATCCTTAGATATTCCAAAATTTGAATTTCTTGTGCATGGTCTCCACTGGGAATTTCAGGCAGCCCCACTGACACCTCAGAATTACCTGAGTTTATATTTTAGATTGAAAGATTTTTTTTTAGACTTCAATGCAAGATACAGAGATATCAAATTAGTATGCTGGAGAAAGTAGTGCATATCATCATGATTTAAAATCATCATGGTGTATTGTTAATGCCTTTCTTAGAGATGGTTTAACTCCTTGTCTCAGAACTGGGCAATCTGTGCTCCTGTCTGGCCTTTTGCTTTGAGGATATGTGGCTTGTGCTCCAAAATAATGATTCCAGGATTCAAAATCCTGCATTGTGGAATGTCTGGGAATTGAAAAAAGTACAGTCACAGCTAGTTTAAATTAATTTTTATTTTTTTAAAAAAAAAATTATTGGGGGTGGTCCCATAGTCTGCCAGATGTTCATATTGGATTTGACATTTTTGTACACCTATCTAGTCCTTCCCAAGGACTTGGGATAGATAGATGCTTGGTGTTTAATAATATGAAAGGTATTGTTGCAGCACGTAAGTTGTTCCAAACAAAGCTGCCTGTTGCAATTAACCGATGGTGATTTTGTCAATGCCGATGATCAGTGCTGATGGTGTTCAAGTGGTACTCTAAATGTTTTGGAATTGCATCCAAGGCATCTATTACAATGTATTTACTATTTCTTGTCCGCTGAACAATTGTTCACACACCTGGCGAAGAACATCCAATTTCCAGATTCCTGTCTAAAACCATAGAAAGCTGCTGCTGAAGAGTATAAACCAGTGGTTCTCAATCTTTTTATACCAGCGACCCTGGTCATAAGGAGGTCGCGTGCATGTGCGGCGTTGCCCCGTGTGGCCGCATGTGCAGCGCCGCCCCCATGCGCCGCCCCCTGCGCGGCGCGCATGCGCGGCGCCATCCCCTGCACCGGCTGAAGAAAAAAAATGGCAGATCGCGTTGTTTGGCAACCCCCGTGAAATGGTTGATCGACCCCAAATGGGGTCGCGACCCACAGGTTGAGAACCGCTGGTATAAGCAGTATCAAAAGAGCAACAATTTGGGGATAAGATAGGCTTTTTTGCTGAACAATCTGGAGAAGGTACTAATTTTCTTCATCCAAATACCATCCTAGAATAAAAAAAGGAAAGGAAAAGGGGGAGGGGGGAAACAACCCTTCTCTCTGGGAAGAGACAGGAAGAGGATGCAGTCCAGTTCCTTCTGATATGCCACTAAGTCACAGACTTCAGCAAGCAGTGTGTACATAGTAGCAAATTTTGAGACAAAATTGCTTTTGTGCTTTGACCTAGGGAAATGTTAGTGGGAAATGCTGCCCTCAGCAAATCTGTTTACTCACATAAGTTTCCTTTAAAGAATGAAAAGCAGACCACTCTTGTGTGGTATTTTACACAAAGAGGGAACGTGTAGCCTTGTAGAACTTTTCTAAAATACGGAAGACTTGTTACTAAGCAAACAGCAAAGTGTAGATTGTAAACAACATGATTTCAAGACCAGCAGAGTCTCACCCTTTTATAGTTGGTTAAACAAGTCAGCAACCACAGTAACAGACTAAGCAGTTTAAGAGAATTAAAACAGAATAAAAAATTGTCTTATTCGCCTGCCTTTTTCATCTTCCCTTTAAATTACATCTCATTTATTTGTTTTACAGTGCGATTCTGGTTTTAAGACCTGGCTCAGAGAATAATTACAGATGCACAATTCAGATATAGCAGAAACTATGATCTAATCAACTCCGCAAATGTTCCCATTCAGAATGCACACAAAGTATGCAGAATAACAAAATGGTTTGTTACTAAATTAATATATCTGAAAATTGCTAACCCTTTTATTTTTATTCACAATCTGCAAAATCACAATGCCTTGTAACGCTCTTTGGTGCCCAGCAGCTTCTGGAATATGTAAATAAAACTCCTATTTGAAATGATTTTGAAACAGTATATCCATATGTTTAGGGAAATCAGCAATATAGATAGTCCTTGACTTAACAACAGTTCATTTAGTGACCGTTCAAAGTTACAACGGCACCCCCAAAAAGTGACTTATGACCAGTTCTCACATTTACGACCGTTGTAGCAACCTCATGATCATGTGATCGAAATTCAGATGCTTGACAAGTGGTTCATTTTTATGACGGTTGCTGTGTCCCAGGATTATGGGATCACCTTTTACAACTTTCTGACAAGCAAACTGTGTTGCTAACTTAGTCCCTGCAGTGACTCCCTTCACAACTGTGGCAAGAAAACTCATAAAATGGGGCAAAGCTCACTTAACAAATGTCTTACTTAACAACAGAAATTTTCATCTCAATTGTGGTCGTAAGTCGAGGACTACCTGTATTTGCCTGATTCTCTACCAGTTTCAAAAAAAATATTTAAATATATATAGTAAAGTATGAACTATGAAACAGCTGAGTCCTTGAGATATAAAAGGGGAAGAGTTATTTTTTTTGTAATGGAATAAATGCATCTCAAATGTATTCCTGTCTTACCTGTACCCAGATTTTTAGCAGTACTCTGTGATTTTTGCATTTCACTTGATTTGAAAGTGAGATCTTCCTGCATGATCTTCAATTCTTGATTTGTTACGGAAGAGATCTGCTTCATACGACTTACATTCTGCACATTACAACAACAACAACAACAACAACAACAAAACTTTCCAAATGTGTTGCCGTGCCTAGAGGCTGATTAATGGAAAAACTTTTTCCATAACAATTATATCAATCACAGTTAATACCCTTAAGAAATGTAAATATTGGAGAGCATATCACAGAGCACTGCTGTGTTATCCACACAAATGGTTTTATTACTTTACCTTACACAATGAGTCAAGGCGAAGAAAATATTAAAGGCTTATATAATTTGAGGAAATTCAACTAAAGGTATAGGTAGTCCTTGACGTACAACCACAATTGAGCCCAAAATTTCTGTTGCTATGTGAGATATTTGTTAAGTTGCTAAGTTAATAACAAGGTTGTTAAGTCAATCTGGCTCCCCCATTGACTATGCTTTTCAGAAGGTCTCAAAAGGCAATCACATGACCCCGGGACCCTGCAACCATCATAAATAGGAGTCAGTTGCTAAGGGTTTGAATGGGAATGCTGCAACGGTAGTAAATGTGAAAAACAGTGATAAGTCACCTTTTTCAGTGCCGCTGTAACTTTGAACAATCACTAAATGAACTGTTGTAAGTCAAGGATTACCTGTCATTGCTTCTTGCAAAAATAACCCTAACCCTTAAGCGAAGAAAAACATCTTCACGGATAATATATCCTAAAGGAAAACAGTTTCTAAAATGTTAATGGGACAATCAAATTCTACTTCAGAAATCGAGATAGCCCGTTCTAAAGGAAGCTATTTTCACTACGACATGGCACTTTAAGAAGTTTCCAGTGAATTGACTTGAATCTGCAAAAGACCTAATAAAACACTGATAAATCTGATGTAAGGCAGTTTTTAGGCAAGTATATGAAATGTAATTACTACATGCTTAAGTTGTGTTAGACTGCTCTGGAAACATAAAAAGCATGTCTGTTTCACATCACATGCAATTGGTTGCAATATGAGGTCATTTTCCTTTTTCCAGGCCTAAGCCTAAGGCAGGGGTAGGCAACCTTGGCTCTTTTATGACTCGTGGACTTCAACTCCTAGAATTCCTGAGCCAGCCATGCTGGCTCAGGAATTCTGGGAGTTGAAGTCCACGAGTCATAAAAGAGCCAAGGTTGCCTACCCCTGGCCTAAGGTATCAAAAGAAGAAACAAAAATGATGGGGGTAAAAAGAAAGCAAAGGAGCAAGATCAATTCTATGGAATGACGACTTTCTATGAACTGTTTTAAAAACTCGGGAAATGTAACCATACCTTAATGAAGTTAATTAATTAACCCCAATGTTAAACAAACCAAAGAATTATTCTGCTATTCTAGCGGCTAGGATCTGAAACCGGCTTAAAATGCGTTTCAAAAAGATCTTGGTGTAAAAATGGAAGTCACCATTTCAGGAAGAAAAAGGCTAAAGCAAGGCTAGACTCTTCACTTGTTAACTGCGTTTACTTGAAAAATCTATACTGGGAAAGGAAGAACTCTCACCGCCTTCTTTTGACTTCTCCAACTGTGGTTCACGTCCCTTAAGGAGCTCTGATAAAAATGTAAGGGAGTCTGCACTCACTCCCACATTGTCTGGACAACGGAGCTTGCTGGTACCAGACCAAGCTGTATGCAGGATCCAGCTGCTGGAACATTCTTCAATAGCCTTTGCACTCACTGCAATGACTCCCCATGAAGCCCTCTACTCACTCCTCAGTACTCGCCAACACAATGCTCATTTTCTTTCTATGCCACGGAGATTCCTCCTGGGGGATAACACTGAGCATGGACGTCCATTCCCCCCAGCAAAATATTGCTTCTCCTTTCCTTTTTGTGATAGGAGACTGACATGCCCTACTTGTCTGTCTTTCTGGGGCATATTCTCTATGTGCTAAACTTTCTTAGGGTGGCTGCTCTCAAGATATGAAAACGGACATTTTCTCTGGTAGCTGTTACTAGTGGGGGCATCTCTTTCCTTCCTGTACCCATGTAAAATGGCTTCCTTCCTTCCTCTTTTATGTGCAGTTCATGATGGGGAGGGAAATGTCACATAAATTCAAGTATTATTTTAGAGGGTCACAGCATCATAAAGTCTGAGAACTCCTGACACTAAATTACTGTTAGATTTACTCTTATTTGCATTCTGAAGAAATGCAAATACAAAGAAATAAAAAAAATAATCCATGTTATTATCAAATGGTTTTATTATTTAATAGTGTGATTTTCAATATTTAAAATTAAATCATAACTGTCTGGTTTTATTTGTTTGAGAGAGAGAGATATATATATTATCTATATTTCCCTAATAGTAAATTAGGATTTCAGGAGGGATTACTTCTTACCCGACTTGAGTGCTCTAAAAGCGCCACAATATTGGCCTCTATCTCTGCTTTCCGTTCCAGTTCCTGGTTCTTTGTCTCTTCAAAAGATTCAAGAAAGTCTAAAGTTGGAAAAAAAAAAAAAGATAGAGGAAGCTATTGTTTACAATAGGAACAGGAGAGAAGTCCAGCAGCATTGCTTACAATTGCACTTTGAATTTTAAAGGGTTTAAAAATATACAAAAAGGGAGTTAAAATCAGAAAATAATTTAATAAAAAATTAGTTTATATGAAAAAGTACAATGAGAATCAGTTATTCAACTGTCACTCAATTGAGTTATTCAACTGTCACTCAATTGAGCTCTATATGGCAAACTAGAAATAATAATATATACAAATTTTTAAGATATTCAATGCCTTAATTACATTCTAACTAGACTCCTGTAACACAATCCATTTATCTATTGTAATATAATCTCTGAAGGATATTCAAAAATTTAAGCAGAATGCTATCCCTTATTGACTGACTTTTTTCCAACAATAGCTTCACTGGCTAAAATACTGTGTCTGAATCCAATTGGAAATGTTGATGATGATCCATAAAACCATATATACATTCATAGACTATATGAAAGACCCTGATCCTTAAGACTGCCTGGGGGATACCAATGTTCAAACAGAGGAATTCTTTACTAGGTGCTTCCAGATTTTGGAAATTTTTCCAGCAAGTGTGGCAATTCAAGCAAAAATTAGGAGAATTGGAAGTCATCCACACCACCATCCAAGTTTGGGCAATAGCTCCCAACATTTACAAATATTGTGTGACTGTTTAAATAGAAGAAAACTTCCTTTCCTGAGTTTTTAACTAAGCCACAGTATGCCTGAAAGCTCCATACATCTCCCTGATATCTGGAGAACTTTCAGAAGCAAAGGTTCAATATGGAGAGTAGCTGTGAGAGTGCGACTGTAATATGACCATAGAACTTTAGCGATACTGGCTCTGGCTCACGGGGGTCTCCAAAATGTGTCTCAGAGTTCCTATATATGCTGAGCAGCTCCTTACACAAAAGAAATCTATTAAAATAGACTAAATGCTTCCTTATCAATTTCTCGGTGCAGAGTAACAACCTATAGAATTTCTGAAATGAAATTAACTTAAGAAATTAGTGTTCTTCATTAGCCAAATGTTCTGCTTTCCTTTATAATATTTTTTCAACACATAAAGGAAGGATTTCGGTTTGCTTTTAACTTCCAATAATTTATCTGAAGTTCAGGGGACCAGAGTGGGAACCAATTTTTACTCTACGTGTTGTTGCCATAGACCCAGTCATCATGTGGGAAACATAAAGAGTTGGACTTACTGTTGAGATTGGCATTCATACCAAGTGATGAGGATGCAGTCTTGTTCTCACTTACCTGAGATTAAAGGCAAAACACTAAGTTTTTTTTCTCTGTGTAGATATCTTGAAATGAATGTTTTCAGGGCCTTAAATGCAATGTGTGCATTTTATATATGTTTATGGATCTACTTACTATCCATGCTTTCCTCTCTCTTCTTCAATTCTTTATATTTCAGATTTTTTTCACCTACAAAAAACAATTTAAAATTAAACAATTAATACTGCCGTTATTTTGTATTGACAGATTAGGGTACAGGTAGACTTTGGTTAATGATAGTAACATTACTAAATGATGCGGTCAAAGTGTTAGGTCACTTTACCGTATTCCTTACCAATGGAAATCCCGGTAGTTCCCATTGCCATTATTAACCAAATCCCGCTGGTTGTTAGGCGCCCTGATTCAAATCATTCCTGATTTTCTCCCTTGGATCCATTGAGCTTAATTACTTTCAGAAATTGCTTTTTAACTGCTTTTTAGTTACTAGGAATTTTTATAACAAGAAGTTATTTTAGAGTACCAGGTGAATCTCCTTCAGTCCTTAGCAAAACTAAATAAATAAATACAAATTTAAGAACTTAGAAAAAATATTATTAATTTGGAATAAAAAGCAAAAGGGTGATTAGAATTTTGGTTTTGGACAGTTATAAATGATCTATAAATTGATTAAGAGGCAAGAGGGACTGAAATAAAATTTTGAAATTAACTATAAGAATTCTCTACATGGGAAATTTCTCTTGAAGTCTTAAAAAATGATACGATGGGACTTTGAAGGTTGGACACTAGAGGGAATCAGAAGTTACTAAAGAAAACAATTAAAGGAAAATAATACTTAGATTTGACTTACTAATATAGAATGGAGCAAAATAGTTTAACACTGAGTGTACTGAAGGATATTTGTGAACAATAAGTCCAGAATTATAAATAAGCTGTGTTTAAAAAATGTTGTGGAATAGGAACAAGTTTTACGGGACAAACTTGAGATTGAGTGGTTTTAAAAATGATAGGCTACAAAAACGATAATAAAAATCATCATAATTATTAAAGGGGATAAACAAATAACAAGTCAAGAGAACAATCTTGATAACTTTCCTATATTGAATTTACAAAAGAGTCTTATTGAAGTTTTGAAGGTTTTTGTGAGAAGGGACAAAGAAAAAAATTCTAGGATAGAATTTGAAGGGATATAGGTCAAGATTGTTAAAAGTAAAAGGAAAGAATACAAAGTGAGTTTAATTTGATCAAAGTTAAAGCAAAAATTGTTATCTCTGCAAACCCTTAATGGATTTTTGTGACCAGGACTGAACAAGGTTTTAAAGTTTTGTTTATGGATAAGAGATGAGAGATAGGTAGAAAAGAGAGATAGGTAGAAAAGAACATTTTTAAAAAGTTTTTATTGTTTTTTTTTAGTACAATTCAAAAGTACTTATTCAACAAACATATTGTCTGAGTTTATCATTCACTAATACAAATTAAATTCCTAATCCCTTGTTCATTTCTCCAGCCATTGATAAAATAAGTCCCAAGTTTGAAAATATTCTGTCTCTTCTTTTTCTTTAAACCTCAGAGTAAGTCTGTCCATTTCCACACAGTCTAATATTTTTTTAATTATTTCTTCCTCTGGTGGTATTTTAAGAAAAGGTGAGTTACTAAAATTGTCTATGCTTGTTGTGATAAAGGGAGAAGTAATTTCTTTATATATTTTCTTTCTTGCTACAATATTAATTTTTCTTTCCTTTCTATTTGTTTTTGTCTTTTTCTTCTACTTTTTTGCTTTTTGCACTTTCTTTTTCTTTTAATTTAATTTGCATTAGTTTTTCAACAGGTTAATAAAATTATTATTAAAAAATAAACTATTTTTAATGGCCACATTTGTAACATGGACCAGCCTCCCTGTTGCTATCAGATTGGCCTCTATATTATTGGCCTTCTAGAAATTGTTAAAAATGGAATAAGGTTGAAGGACAAATGGTGAAAGAAATGACACTGATCTATGATGTATGGTTTTTTTATTTTGTATTAAATGCCTTTAGGAAGGCACTTAAGACCTGGCTCTTCCTGCAGGCTCTGAGTTACATTTGTGTGTGGGCACTAATCACTAGCAATGCTGTAGTAGTATATTTGAATCTATTTCCTCCCTTCATTTTTTTTGATGTCTATATTTTCACCCACAATTTTTTAACCCATTATAAGTGGCCTAGTCATTGAGTGGGTGACCTTAAAAATTGATTAAATAAATCACCGTATATTTAGGACTGTTTTTTACCACAAATGTTTTATAACACCATTGAATGTTATTGTAAACCACTAAGAGTCCTATTGAATGCATTGGGGACAAACCGAAAGATAAACAAGATGCATTTGAATTAATACAAGATATATCTGTTCCATAACATACTTATATGATATGCTTGCATTATTTATGATAACTATAATCTCTGTTGACTTACAAAAAGGTCTGATTCAAAAATTTAAAATAAAGTGTATAATACAAATAGATAACAGCTTCACAACCTAAAGAAAAACATGGAATGCGTAAGCTAAAAATAAACCACATTAAAATTGACAGACACAAAGTCTCCTTTCCCTGTTATATTATATGACTTTCCCACTACTTGTATTTATAAATTATAAATGTTTGCACTGTCCTAAGAGCACATTTTTTTAAACATCCTGGTAGCTAGAGTCCTATTTCTGGCCAATTCTCCCTTTCATGACAGAAAAAAAAAACCTTAAAGTCTAATTTGCTTTTCAGAGTACCATGAACAGAGACATAGATTGAGGACTTAAACAAAAAAGAAATCTTTGATTTTTTTTTATAAAAAATAGGATTTTTTTAATGAAAACTTCAGAATATTGAACAATTGCACCAATAACACTATATTGATCATCGTTTATGAGTTTGTCTTAGATATGTTGTAAATCACCCGTGTCACTTAGGTGAGATAGGTGGGTGTGGAAATTTAAACAAACAAACATCTAGGTTATATATTTCCTATTCAATATTTCGGTAATATATTAATGAAAACTATAACCACCAGTGCAAATGTCTAAATTATACGTTGCAAATTTTTAAAATTGTAGTTACAGATTTTTTTTTTTGTAGAACTGATATTTGCTTTGACAGGTGTTTAAGAAACAAAAACACCCTTCTTCAGATATGAAAGTGAATTGTCCATGAACAATAGGAGCCAGTGATATATGATCAGGAGAATTTATAATAATTTTTGTTGTCTGATACTTGGTGAAACTATTCAAACTATAATTTTCACAAATCCCAACTAGCAGAGTAAATATTCTGGGGAATTACAGCCTGGAAATTGTGGGAGTACCCAGTACCTTCAAGGACTCAAATCAACACCAGCAGGAATGGAAGCTCCTGGTACAATCCCTCTCGTTGGTGTGAAGGTAAGATTAATTACAATGGGAGGGTTGGCAGGTGGAGATGGAGATGTGGGAGAAGACAACTTAGGAAAAGGAATTCCTAAATCAAACTCAAAAGATTGTGTATGATTGCAAGAACATTTGTGGACATGACTGCAACATTTAGACAAGTTTTTGTGCTAGACGATGTGATCTCTGGATAATAAAACACTTCCTTAGTTAGTGGGAAAGAGCATAGCATTTCCACAACTAGATCTGGAGAGGATTATGTGGGAAGATCAAATTAGCAAAAACATCTGGTCATCGATGGTGCCAATATTGAATCACAAAATCATAGGGTTGGAGGTCTTCTAGTCCAACCCCCAGTGTGATGCAGGAATCCTCACACCATACTGAACAAATGGCTGTCTAATCTCTTCTTGAAAACTTCCAAGAATGGAGCGTTCATGACTTAAGGAAGCAGATACTGTATTCCATTATTCAATACTTGTCATAGTGAGGACATTTGTCCTTATTTCAACTTTTGATTTCTTTCTGTAAAGTTTCTACTCACTAGTTCTTGTCTTCTCCTCAGGTTCTATGACAAAACCCTTTGCTCTGTGACATCTCTGTGTGTATCATGTCTCTCTTTACTTTTCTCTTTTTAAAGTTAAACATACCAAATTTCTTTAACTGCTCTTCATAGGATTTAGACTCTAATCCCCTTACCTTTTTATTATTCTTCTCTGCATTCTTTCTTTTTTGTATTGTGGTAACCAGAATTGGTCACAGTATTATTACAGGTGCAGTCTAACCAGAACAGTACTATAACTTCCCGCGATCCTGATGCCATATCTTTGTTGCTACAGTCCAAAATTTAATTTGGTATAATTTTAATACTACTGAGGAAAGATAATTAATGCTTTTGCTATAAGAAATATAATGGATTATTTTGAAAAGCTCCTATGCTTTAGATATCAACTATAAATAGTAAAACAATTTCTTACCATCTACAGCCATCCAAGAAATATAGGAAAACGATGCAAAAAGTGTATGAAAATAAAACAGATAAAAGCAAAATGATGGAATTACCATGAAAATGCTAAAATCAAGTACTGATTATATGATCAAACTTAAGAATCAAGAAAGAAAAACAATACTGATTAAGTCACACTTCTAAGGAGATAGCATTAAGATAATTAGTTCCTTTTAAATCAAAACTTACAACTGCATGTACTTATTTATCTAAGGGCAGTTAAATGACTGCCCAACTCAAATAACATGATTCTGGGTAGCATATAAAAAGAAAAAGAAAAAAAGGGAAAAAATAATCAACCCAATAAACATAAAAAAACTTGAAAGGTCATTAAATCATGAAAGCTGATTTTACTGTAACTCCTCAAATTGGGAATTCTATTCAACTGGCCCAAAAGCTTGAGGAAAGAGCCAGACCCCAACTGCTGCCATTGAGAAGGCATGGCTTTTGGATTCCATAAGATGGCACTGGTTCAGTAAAGCAACCCAAGGTGTACCCTCCTTATAGAAGCATCATTGGTTGTCACCGGATTACAACTCCCGCAATAATCTATTCCGATTTGGAAAGCACCAGGTTGGAAAAGGCTACTTTATTAGTTGAAATGCTTTTTTTCTAACTCCATGTGATTCAAAGATTTGATAATATATATGCAGAGAATTACCCACATTCACAGTCTTCCAAATAGTTCTGCTTACACAAACCTTTTTTACAGTGAGAAGACCACCCATATCTGTTGCAAGGATTAACTTATGTTGGAGTTTTTGTGCATGATCATAGAATTTGAACAACTTTCATTAGGGAGGATTACTTTTTTGGCTTATTTTGCCACACCATCATTTTTTTTTATTCACAGTGAAACACATTCTTTAAAGTCCTTTGAGAAAAGGGATATTTCCAAACAGCTAACAAGCCATCAAGTGCAATGCACTATGAAGCTGTGTTAGACTGTAAACATCTTTTATAGATGTTTTAGCACAGAGGTTCCCAACCTTTTGGGCAGCAGGGACTCGTTCTGTGGAGAAAAGTTTTTTCATGGACAGGAGAGTGCATGGTTTTGTGTGCTGCCTGCATCCCACAGATGGGGCTTTGCTTGTTTGTGCAGACCAGCTGCTGGCATGCCACGGCCTGGTACCAATCCCTGGACTGAGGGTTGGGGACCCCTGTTTTAGCAGTAAGAAAATAGGTAGAGGCGGAAGGAAACTACAGGAAGGTAACAAATGGAAATACTTATCATATAAGAGTGTGGAATAAAAATATTGTACAGAATCATGCCGTTTGCATGTATGAACACATATTAGTATCTATTCAGAATTCATAGACCCTACCTGAATATAAATAGTCCACATTTCTGAATCAACTAGAACATTTAAATACAGTTTTGAAGAGTCAGGTTTTAAAGCCCTCTTTTACCTTGGTGTTCTTCTAAATCCATGTCAAGCTGCCGAATTCCTTCATTGAGATGGTTGATCTTTTCTTTTATATCTGTTAGCCTAAAACAATGTGTAAAGTGCATGGTGATAACTATAAATATACAGCTTTAGACACCAGCTTTTTGCAAAAAACACTGAATAAATAGCTTTCTGACTAACAATAAAACAGCAATGTCTTTTTCTTCCAACATGTTTTTGCTTCTGAATATTCTTGAACTGAGTTTACACAATTTTACCTAAACGAGTTTAATTTTGTAAAGAATGAGGAACATAAGAATTTCTTATGTTAAACAATGGGTCCCCCTGCTGGTTAAAATATTTCATTACAATAATATTACAACAGAGTAATGCTTCTTTCTCTCACTTTCTCAAATTAAGTTTGATTTCAGAGAAAAATGTAAGTAAAACATTAATTAAAGTAACCTAGTTAACATATTTAAATTTAAATGTGATATTGTATTTAAATTTAAATGTAATATTGTATTTATACAATGCATTTTTTTGTTTATAGCTGTCTTAAATGCCAGGTATCATCTTTAAAATCTCTTCCCTTTAATTTTGAACAATATGAATAACCATATGATAATGAAGCATGTCTCATAAGCAATAAAAATGTCACAGGACAATATTTATTTTAGACCTTCCCCTGTTGCATTACTTATTACTGTTGTCTTATTACTATAGTATTACCTAGTTAAGGCATCAGATACTTTAATTCCAATTGCATTTTCACATATGATTCTTCAGAATATTTTAACAAGTAAGTGATAAAAATAACCCTGCTTCTTTTTACAGTTAATGGGTACAATACACATGGCTGGCAAATCTGGGTACAATACACATGGCTGATAAAAAATATGTGGATGTAAATTAAACTGATTTCATAGCAGACATAAAAACTGGAGGAGCAATATAGAAAAGCACTCACTGCCTCTCCATGCTTGCTATTTCTTGATTGTCTTCCTTCACCTTAAAAAGAGATGACATATTTCTTAGTGACACAAATAAATTACTGCTATGGAAAGAATGACAAGAATGCTGGCTTAACTGTAGAAACAGACTGATATTAATTGTATTCTCTAACAAAATACTTTCATCTTACCTTTCAGTATCACAAATATATGTATATTAGAAAAAGTGATAAGCAAGTAGTCTTTGATTTACACAGAGGTATTCAAACTTGGCCCTTTTATGACTTGTGGACTTCAACTCCCAGAATTCCTCAGCCAGGCACCTGGCTGAGGAATTCTGGGAGTTGAAGTCCACAAGTCATAAAAGTTTGAAGACCCCTGATTTATAACTACAATTGAGCCGGGAATTACATCCATAAGTTATTGTGGTCATAAGTCAAGGCACATCATGTGACTGGACCTACATTTTTTGTGACAGTGATTAAGTGAATGCAGTGGTCATTAAGTGAACATGGCAGTTGTTAAGTGAATCCATTTTCCCCAGTTGGAAAGTAAATGCTAGAAACTGGCAAAAAACATTGCAAATCAGTTATGTGACCATGGGATCTTGCAAATTGCTGTAAAGATAAACTGGTTGCCAACCGCCCAAAATGTATCACGTGATGGTGGGTGGGAATACAACTGTTGTAGCTTTGAAAATTGGTTGTAAGTAGCTCAGGGAGGTCCATCTTAACTTTGACTAGTTATTAAACAACAGGTTGTAAGTCAATGACTATAGGATTGTAAGTCTTACCAATAGGGCAAGAAATGTCTCCAAATTCTGCTAGAAATATGTCTGCTCAGATATTCACTGATGATGATGGTTTGGGATCCAATGGACACAGAACCAATCCCAGAATAGCACAAATGTCATTTGTGGAGATATCCTGTATGCATTTTAGATTTGTCAGCTACATTGCACTCGTGACTTATACTCAGCTAGTTTTTCATATCTACTGCTACTAAATCAGGTTTTCATAATATTTTACTTATACGCTTGGTGTTTTTCAGCCATCTGATTCATTTATTATCTTACAGGCTTAGTTCAGTATTTCAGTCTATCAGAGAAGGGAAAACAAATTGTGTAAAATAGAGATACTAATTTATTGCCTTCCCAATTCCTTTATGATATGTGAATACTAAGCCACAATCAACATGTCTCCTTCCAAACTGCACAAATAGAGTTCCTTTTACATAAGTGTGCTCTCACAGTTAGCTCTGTTGGTTAAGGTCATCAAGCTCCAATCATTACATTTGCTGGCCTAGAGTCATGATGGTATCCTGTGGAAGTGAAAGTAAGTGTGGCTTTTCTACATTAACACAATATGTAAGTCCCCAACCCCCGGTCCATGGACCAGTACCAGGCCGCGGCATGCCAGCAACTGGCCCACACAAACAAGTGACATGCAGGCAGCAGACAAAACCATGCACCCTCTGGTCCGCGGAAAAACCTCTCTCCATGGAACCAGTCCCTGGTGCCCAAAAGGTTGGGGACCTCTGCTCTAGCCGTTTATTTCTTCCTGTTAACTGAGCTTTACAAATATTACAAAGTAACCTTTTTTCAATATTTTTTTTATACCTGTTTTAATAGTCTTTCTCTTTCCTCCTGGGGAGAGCCCATGTTCTTGTCCTCTGCAATCATTTGGTCTCGATGTTCCTCAAGACCATGGAGCTTTTCGTACAGCTGTAAGGCCTCTTGTTTAATTTGGGAGTGGGTAATTTCCTAAAGATAGAATACACGCATACGGGTATTTTGCATTTTACACAACTGAAACAGAAAGTAAAGACCAGGGACAATGAATCAGTTTTGGCCCACAAGCCACATTATCTTGTGGATAAACAGCAACTAGAGCAGTGTTTCCCAAACTTGACAATTTTAAGGCATGTGGACTTCAACTCCCAGAATTCCCCAGCCAGCGTTGCTGGCTGTGGAATTCTGGGAGTTGAAGTCCTCATGCCTTAAAATTGTCAAGTTTGGGAAACACTGAACTAGAGAGTAGCATAGGAAGGTTCCTGCTAAAACTGAGTATTCTGCACATACGTTCATTATATATGTTCATTGATTCATATATTATCACTCCTAAATACTTCTAAACAGATAAAACAAAGCCATTCTCTATCTTTACATACAGAGATATACACTGCTAATTAACATCTCTATCCATTTGCTTATTTCACATCTATTTCTAAGCCTCCATAACCATTCTTAATTTAAGAACATATGCATTATCTAATTATATGTATACGATTGCTAATATGTGAAAATTCCAAGGTAATAAAAACAGCTGTCAAAAGTACTGTCTGGTGAGATTCTGAAACTAAGGAAGTTAAAGCATTATCAAAGTTATGACCTTTCAAGTACTACATAGTAACTTTCTAATAGAATATCAAATGGGAAAATTCATAGAACAGTTGATATATACATGTAAAAATTATGGGAGTGGTTAAACTGAGGAGAACAAGTATTTAGAAAGTAACACAGAAGCTCTGTTGGTTAGTATAAAGCATGTTATGTTACAGATACTGTGGTTTAACATTATATACTGAATAGTAAGAGCATACTTAAAAGTTCCCACTTTATAAATACTTTGCTTAACTTTTATTTATTGAATAAAACACAACTGCATGGGTTTACAAGCCCCAATGGCTAAATTCACTCATTATGCTATGTAATATGTGAATCTAGCTATATGGTTTACTGTAGTATGTTACATGACAGAGGAAGCAAATAGTGATCATTTTCCTTCAAGAAACAATATCCTTTCCAATATTTTATGTTAAAAATTGCTAAAAGAATCACTGAAAGTTGAGGATACTAATAGGATTAATAATGTAATACCATCTGCTTATCCCAGGTTCTTGGGAAGGACTTGACAGATAAATGAAAATGCAAAATCCATTCTAAATACCTTGCTGACTGTGTGACAAATCATAATAATACAACAGAATAGAAGAGAAAGAAATGGAGAAAATCAAAAAACACAAAGACCTCCAAGTAGAAGCGGAATGACTGTGGCAAAAGAAAGCAAGAATAATACAATAGTAATAGGCACTTTGGGTGCAATCCCTAAATGTCGGACATTTACAAAATCAACTTCAGCCAATGGCAAAAGGCAGCTTTTCTTGGAACAGCTTACATCTTGGGACAATACTTTAAAACCATCAAATAACAATATTCTTTTTTTTATCTACCTATCAACAAGCAATCAGGTGTTTAAACTTTGTTTATCCACTTATCTAACTCTTCCCAAGATGGATAAACAAAGCCAAATGAAGTTTAAATACCTAATTGCTTGTGAGATCACCCATTATAATATTAGATATGCAAATGAAGTAGTGGATTAGACTCAAGCATAATAAAAGCCCTGGATAGGAAAATCAGAAAAATAATGAGAATGAATCAGCCCTTCATTCACACAGTGATGTTTACAGGCTCTGTTACTCAAGGAAGATGGATGGGTTGGAATGCTGCAAGTACACCAGATGGAAGAAGAAAAAAGGAGACTGGAAGGATAATGAAGAAGATGCATCGAAGTTAATATATCAGGAAAACTTACTGAATATTGGAGAGACCAAACCAGCCTACAAGAAAGTCCAAAATGAAAATAGAAAAGAAATCTTGCAAAGTATTACATGGCCAATTCATTAAAAAAAAAAAAAAACCTAGCAGGCAAAGCAGATAACAACAAGATCTGGCAATGGCTAAGAGCAGAAAAACTAAAGAGACGGGCTAATTTTGGCTGCACAAGAACAAGCCTTAAAAATAAATGCATACAAAGACAGAATTGAGAAGACAGCAGCAGAGAGCAAATGCTGTCTCTGCAAAGAAACTGAAGAAACAGTGGACCGACCACCAGTTATCTGCTGTAAGAAGATTGAACAGACTGATTACGAACAGCATAACAAAGTAGCAACAAGGGTGCATTGGAAAAAGAGTAATGACATTTCATCTTGAGGTATTTGGTGAGATTACCATACTACTGGATAGGAGACTCCCTAGCAGGGGAAAAAAAAAAGGAGTGTGATCCACAGAGCAGAAAAAAGTTATCTACTTTTATTCTATACCACAGTGGCAACCATCAATTGATAATCAGTATCCTGAAGATAACAAACAGCTAAAATCATACTAGCCAGGGATTTTGACTTTATTTTTAATTGTATGTAAGACAGTTATTTATGAGTCATCTCTTTCAACCTTATCCTTCCATTATGTAATGAATTTGAGAATAGGAAAATACATACGGCTTCCAGAGCTTGTTCTTTCATATTCACAGCATCCATTTCTTGTTGTAAAGAGGCCAATTCCTAGGAGAGGAAGTAGGATTTTCATATAATAAAAATTGTTAAAAGAAATTTAGTGCTTGAAAGAAACTTTGAAAATTAAGGTTTCATGGATAGTCCAACCATGGCCATATCCTATATAAATGCACAGCTCTGGTCAAATTCAACCTCAAGGCATCCAATCTTATGCTTGGTAAATATGTTGCCCATTTCTTTGAAGAGTTTAATCATTGGGCTAATTTTATCACTACCGCATTTTCCCCAAAATAAGACCTATCCCGAAAATAAGCCCTAGCTTGATTTTTGGGGGTGGGCCTAATATAAGCCCTACCCAAAAAATAAGCCCTAGTTTTGGGGTGAGACGCACGCCTAAAAATCAAGCTAGAGTGGGGGTAGAGATGCCCCAAGCGTCCTGTACCCTAGCTTACCGTTGCAACCAGGCTTCTCATGAATCAACACCTGCCTTGCCTCACTGGCCCACATCTTCTGTGGTGCCCCCCCTGGCTTGCATTTCACCCTCAGAAGCCCTCAGGAAATGTCTTTGCAGTTGAGAATGGAGCTCCGGATTTCCCCCGGCCTGCATTTCACTGTCAGAGGCCTTCCGGAAAGGCCTCTGCACCTGAGACCCGAGCTACAGATTCAATCGGCTGGTAAGATGCAGGCAGGGGGCGCCGCACGGGTCAATCCAGAACTCTATTCTCAGCTGCAGAGGTATTTCCTTTGGCCACAGAAGAAATGGGCCGGCTGAGTAGGGCTGTTGGTCTCACCTCATGGTGAAAATACACCCCCTGAAAATAAGACCTGGTGCCTTTTTTGGAAGAAAAAAAATAAGATTGGGTCTTATTTTCGGGGAAACGCGGTAACATGATCATCATCATTCTTAGGTCCTCAGTTAGGATTTGAATTATTTAGTTGCCACCATTTCCAACTTACTCAAGCAAAATTAGATTACAGCTCATGTTTCAAAGTGTGACATAGTGTAAATTTTCTGGTGTTAAATATGTTTTCTCTTTTAAACCTTGGATTCATTATCTTGTTCTGAACAATTGATTTTTTTTTGAATAAGGTCAATTAAATCTTTCATTCCTTCATGGAGTTTTTCCTACAAAGACATGCTATACATCATACTAAACAATCCTGCATGCTTAATGTGCACATGACTCTTGCAATGAGTCCATTGTGAGGGACAGCTACCAAGCCACATACCCATGGCTTCTTTAAAATTAAGAAACCTTGCTTCTGGTAAGAAACTGGAGAATTAAAGCTATAATAAAGAAAAAGAGGTTGGTAGATTCTATAACATGATTTCTGTGGTAAAGAGTTAATCACACCCATTCAACCTTTAAGAGGTTAAAATATTAGATTTGGCTGGAACATATTACCCTTCATATGTTGACTGAAGCTTCTGGAATTTTTTTTTTCATTTCTTTGGTCTAAAATTATTCTGGCACATATAAAACTGTAATTTAGCGAAATATCAAAGACTACCTGCAAGAGCTTTTCATTTGCCATTTTCATTTCTATGTATTTGGTTTGATCTTCTTCCGACATATTTTTTATTATATTTTCTGCTGCTTGTTTTTCCTGCCGGATATCATCTTCCACAGCTTGAATTAGTTTTTCTTTGCTGCATCACACAAATAAATATTTTGTAAAACCCAATCCAACATTTTTTTGCATTATAATTATTTTTAAATTTAGAATACCAGTAAATTTTACACTAAAGAGAGTGAAAGCAAAAACAAAGTAAAGTCTTCCTTGAGCCGAACTGTAGTTCTACTAACTTCATGGATATATTCAGTGCTTTTTTTGTAAAAAAAAAAAAAAAAGGTGCCAGAACTCACACACGTCATACAACCTGCCTTGCCTACCCTATAAGGTTCCATCCCAAAAAGGTGCCGGAACTCCGTTCTGGGCGTTCTATGACAAAAAAAAGCCCTGGATATGCTCATATAGTTTTCTTAGGACACATAGAAATGCCATTGTCAACTATGGAGACTTTTTGGTTTCAAACTGTTTTTTAAAAAAAAAAAAATAACTTTTTTTTTAAAAACAGTATTATATCTATTTTTGGATTTTGTCTTTCCTACCACAAAAAATGACAGGAAATTAAAATTCAACAATGCAGTTGGAGGGTTCTCTTGGGACCACAAAAAAGAGTCATGAAAGTCACAATTTGCTTACGTTAACTAAAACCCTGAAACTGCTGAGGTGGATTGGGAAGAGGGCCTGACAGTTAAAGAAAGTATGACAGAAACAGTATTTCCTCACAATGTTCAGACTCCTATTATGCAGCTCAGTTAGTATTTGTTAGCTCTTTTTTTCCCTGACCTTTGATCTAAAATCAAGCATATGCCTGCTTCCTTTTAAAAACAAAATTTATAGATAGGCTATGCTGTGTGCCAGGACTGATGTTTATACTGCTAGTGGCAGTTACACCCCCCCCCCATTAAAAAAGGAACAACTCAACCTATCTAGCCTTAGCTCTTTGTATCCAATACAAACGTGTTTTATTGCAAACTCTAGATTTCTCCTCCCTTACCTTGCAATTTAATGTCATAAAACTGCACAGATCACACTCAAAAGTCTTCTCGATTGGTTGCAAGCCTCTAACTCATAGATGAACACAAAGAGTCAATCTTTTTCTAAAGGTGTCCTGCACTTTATTTTAAACTTCCTCCCTGCTAATTGGGTACAAAGGTTGTGACCAAGTGCAGAAACATTGCAACTTTCATCTCTTTTTTTTCAATCACAGGAAAATATGCAAGTACGATTTTCCGGAGAAAAATTAAGAAGGTATGATATATGCATATAAATCATAGTATACTTGTGTGATACCAAAATTTGCTTCATAATCCAAGAGTGTGGAATATATGTACTGTCTGGTTCTGATTTTCTTAAGAAATTCAGAAAAGATTCTGAACGATTTATGTTTTGTGAGAAGTCATATTTAACTCTACTGCTACCTTGAAGCTGTACTTTGTTTTTAAACAACCTAAAAGTAACAAAGATTGTTTTGGCAATAAAGGAAACCTTGAGAAATAGCATATACTTGATTTTTTTAAAAAAAAAAATATGGCTGAAGATAAGATTGAGAGATGCTTTCACCACGAAACTTCATCGCAACCTTGGTTTTGTTTCTCTGGCTATTGCACTGTATCAAATAAACATCTTATTATCTGTATTTTTTTTATCAATCCTTGAGAGATTTATGCAGTTTTCTTTGTAAAGCATGGTCACATAAATGGCATCACGACAATGAGATATGACTCTCTGCTTTGTGCTGCCCTTTAAAGTGGAACCATTTTAGAGCTCAGCTGGGAGCAAGAAGCAAAGCTCTCAGGAAGGTTTAAATCTGCTCTTACATTATTGAAGTTGCAGTTAGAAAATATTTGTAACTTTTTGTACTTTATAAATATCTACAACAATATTATTTAGCTGAAGCAATGCATTTTTTCTGAAGCGAAGAGCTCGTACTTTTAGCAAGTGTACTTGGCATGTAAAAAAAATAATTGTTGTTTGGTTGCAACCTAGAGAGGCTTTAGAGAGAAAATCATATCTACTTTGAAACATGGTGGGGACACGTTTTACAGCTTTTCCCCTACCTAGTCACATTTTCTATAAGAAAACCACTCTGAAATTGGAGAGAGAACCAGATGACTTAGAAAGTTCTACATTATTGAGAAATAAAGACCCACATATGTATTCTGCATGGGGTTGATTTGTCAATCACCTTTGCAAGTTTCCATATATTATTATTCCAAACAAAAAAGCAGAATTTTGAAATACGGGAGTATGAAGGATTACTGTCTCTCTCTGGGTATGTCTGTGTTTTTGCCTACATCATGCACAGTCATCTTTTAGAAAATCAGAATAAAAGTTTCTTCCATACACAGGTCATTAGATGGGGTGAATTTAGGGGTGAAAAACAATATTACTTCAATTTCAATATTTTAATTCAGCTCCAAGGATTCTATTCATTTATTTTGCTCTGCAATTGACTTTGATGCATTTTATGGCCACAAATCATGAGCCAAAGAAGAACAAATAATAGCGCCTTAGTTCCCTGTGTTAAATCCTCAGTTTTTGTTACTGTTTGAATTGTATCAAAAATTAACAGATTTTGAATATGAAGCTTGCTTGGCTCCTGATACTGGTTGCAGTTCTTTTTCTTCATCCAGTCAGTACCGAATGCAGTGATACTTCTCAAACTGTAAGTTTTGGAACTAAATCATTATCATTATCATTCTTTAGCCACTTGTTAAAGAAGCTGTTAGTTCCCAATTTCTAATTAGATGAGAATGAGACTTAGATCCAATAATAAAGCTTTAACGATGCTATGCAGTTTCTTTTAAAATATGTTTTAGAACATGTATAAACTTGTGATATTTATAAAATATAATGATCACATATTTCTATTAATACTATCAGTTATTCCACTGCTCTTGCACATATATATGTCCAGAGCATGTCACACATTCCATACCAAAAATAAGGAATGCTTCTTCAGAATGCTAAGACTAAAACCCCGTTAAAGAATATTTATTCTTAAACAGATTAGAGATTCAATATAGCACTGTACATTTTTTTTAATATTCAGATTCAATTCCTTCAAGTATCATGCTCTGCTGCATACACGTTATCCATTACAAACCACAATGATGTAATAAACACATCTGGGTTATGATGCATTTATTGCAGAAGATGCTATTATAGACAGCATTTGACCTATGCCAAAAAGCAAAGAAGCATCCCTATAGTTTATGTAATTTGCAATAGTTGCATCATGATGTCTGATGCAAATATTTAAATATGTAAAATTGTCACATTATTGGTATGATGTATATGTTAACATGTGGTGTCACGTGCATCCTTTGGCAGCTCTAGAGATGGTTAGTATGAAACAGCCCCTTATGCCAAAAGATAATTTTCAGTCTAGGTTACATGGAAATGTCACATACGTCGTGCTTCCTACTCCATTACAGAAAGCTTCTTAAGTCTGTTTCAGACTTGAAGTATTGAAATTTAAAGTATCCAGAATCAATATTCATGACCAACTTCTTTCTTGTACACAGTACACTTGGAATGAAAATATTCCTAACTAGAAGCAGCATACAGATATCATTGTTTTGTTTCTGATTTGGGTAATGTTTATTTTGCTGTTCTCTGCTGCTACTTTTCTACATCTTATGGGATTTGGCTGTCACATTTCTCTTTATTTTATTATCTAAACTACATGAATTTCTGTTTGAACTGACAGTCATTTTTTAAACAACAAAGAGTATACAGATTTGTAAAAGATTTTTGTAAATAATTTCTTATGATATTTTCATAACTGTTTTCTCTCTCTGTTTAACAGGTAAACTGTCAGGAAGTGGCAAAAAACCATTCTTCTGTTCCTTCTAGACTAAACAAAGACATTTCTGTGTTATATCTTAGTTGCAACCATATTACTTTAAACAAGGATGACAAAGAAATACTTTGCCAGTACAATAATCTCACAGAACTGTATTTGAACAACAACTCTATTGTTGTTGTTTCTAATTACAGCTTTGAAAAGCTTTTACAATTAAAAATTCTTGATGTCAGTAATAATGATATCAAAACAGTTGAAAAAGCAGCATTTGCTGGTTTAAATGAATTGCAGATTCTGAATCTACAAAATAACAAAATTACACAATTAAATTCTGATATATTTGCAGCGCTAAACAAGCTGAAAGCCATAAACTTACAAAACAATGTTTTAAAATATTTTGATGTTAAGGGAACATTTCATTCAATATGTATTAAATTAAATGGAAATAGGTGGACGTGTTCATGTGATCTTCTTAGTTTACAGCATTGGCTGAATAACTCTACTGTGATAATGGGTAGGTCAAGATATATTTAGTCTTGATTATTTTTCCATTTCTAAAAGTAATTTCAGAATTGCTTTCTGAAATTCCTAATTTGGGAGCCAAAAACCGTAAAAGAAAACTGTATATCGGAATAACCTAAGAGACTTGGCTTATGTACAACATTAATATGATTTCCAAACAATTGTATTATAAAATCGGCTTATATAACCGAGTTTGTTTTTAATCATGAAGTAATTTATACACAATGCTAGTATACTTGAACATGAAACTACATATTGACAAGGTTCTTTGCCTAATGCTGCAGGATCTGGTCTGGCCTTATTCCAATCACATATGAAGCATGGTTTATTAAACTAGTTAACATCTCCATTTGAAACTAAATATAGTCCTCATATTTTAAAGTATTCAAAATAGCAAATTCAAAAATTATCTGTTTAATCAAGTGGGTTAGAAAAAAGATTTGCACACTGAACCAGAAATGTATTCAGAATAATGTATTTCAGTAAAAAACTTTTCATACTTCATCTAGGACTATCTACTAGATCTGAGCTGAAAAAAATCAAAGGGACCATTAGATGATAGCATACAGAGAACTTTAATTGCTGTCATCTGATAGTTGTTCAGAGTTTTCCAACTCAGATCTGGTAATCCTACATTTAGGTATCTGCTTATACAGTAAGTGAGTCACTATGAGTTCTAAAGAATATCCTTCTAGGAGAGCAATTAAGGCAATTTAAACAGATAACTAACACAATAATATATATAATTCTGTTTTATAACGATATAATTAAAACATATTCATACAATTTTTACTCAGAATTTGTTTTCCTTGGATGTCTAGTTTTTGGGATAAGCATTACTAGAATTGATTTTCGATTTTAACATCTTTTGGATGACTATCTGATGAAATATTCCATTACTGAGCCCAACAGTATTGGAATACATCTTTGCTTTGAATGAGCTATTTACTAATCTTGGCACCAAGAAAGTGACATTTCACTACGAAATTCTTTTGATACATGCAGACCAGTTGTTAATGCATAAGATCAGTAAACCTGGACAGCGTTTCTTGAAGTTCTCAAATGAAGTTTGCTTTCTGTGCATTTTTATTGATATGTTTAGCTGGTTAACTGTCCTTAGAAGACTGTTGGTTTTGTTTGTTTGTTCTGCTGGCTTTCTTTTCTGTTAGATTAAAATGAATATAAATTCATTTAGGCTTATTATGTTAGATACTATTTCTTTTGCTTCACCCTATTGTGCTACCTCATCTTTTTTTTAATTTATAAACTTATAAAAAATTAATTTTAAATTTATATTTTTACTATAAAAAGTTTAGCTTTGTATTAGAGTGCAGGCCAAACATTTTAACACTGATACTGGTTATATTTACAGAAAATGAGAACAGTACTATATGCCCTATTCCAGTTACTCTGAAAAACTATCCTATCAAGACAACAAATATATTAAATTGTAAACAAATTGGAACATCTGGAACTCTGTCACCTTTTCCTTTTATTAGTAATATTGATGGCACAACATATAATTATACAAATGAATCAGCATATTCAGGTACACTTCTGTTTAAATAAACAATTAAGGGTATATATGGGGGTATATTGTTTCAGAAAAAAATGTCAAAATGATATAATTCACTTATATGGATTTTGAAGCACTGAATAGGTCTGCTAGCTAGAAGAAAAAAGAATGTACATAGTCCTGAGTACTTATCAATATTTGTTGAGTAAATCAACTTAAGATTTGTTTAAATACTCCACTGACTGTTCTACATTCACACAAATTAAAACCTTTATAACATATTGCATTGCATTTAAGAATAGCTTTTGTCAAAGTTGCCCTCAAATGCCTGCAATATTCTATCTGAATCTTGGCACATTCATAGAAATCTACTAGATAGAATATATGAAGCTTCATGCCACCTAATTGAGACAAAGAGCAGCTTCTATCAAACTAAAAAGTTGCCATTCAGATGCATACATGCATAATGCAGGGTTGAATTCTGTTTTGTTTTGTTTTTTTACCTGTAGAGGACTGATAGCTGCCTTTTTCTCTCATGTGTCTGGAATAGCCAACTACACACTAATTTCATAAACAGCTGTTTTACTCCCAACCTTCCCTCTTCCTAACTTGATGATTTCAGTCATTCGTTACATTTTAAACCAGGAAATATACTGAAATAATTTTATGAACACCACCTAACCGAAGCAATCTTTTCCCTAGCAGAACATAACTGAACATGCTAAATTGCAAAGTGGCCTGAGAATCTTCACATGCATATTGTTAAACTATAGTTAACCAGATAATCTGGATAGTTCAATATTCCAATTATTTGTTGTATGTCCGTTTAAGCATAAAGTTTTGGCTTATCTGATATGGCAACAATTTCCTCTCATGAAAATCAAATAGATCCCAGCTGAACTTGTAGGATTGGCACTATACTAGGGCAAACTAGGTGGGCCATTAGTCTTGAATAAATTAGACCATAACTTGGGCAGGTACCAGAGTTCCATACAGAAAGTCAAGATTATTCATTGATTTATTTATTAATTCAGCTGAAATTCCATAGTATGATATTCACCTAAAATTACTTTAAAAGTTTACAGCATTTATCATTATCTTTTTCTTAAAAAGGTCAATAGTTAAATAACCTAAAGCCTATATTTCTCCTAAGGAAGAGGTCAGTTTGCTTAATTAGATCAATAGACATTAATAAATGTCCTCTGGAAATCAAGCATTTTCTCAGAAAGTTGTGTAGAAAAGACAGTTATGGAGGATGACTATACATTATAATATTTTATTATTTATATAAACATATATGTATATATTTATACAAATAAATATTTTATTTCAACATGCAGGTATTCAGCCCATTGGCAAAAGCTGGACTTTTTTGATGGGTGTCCTAGTAGTTATCCTCAGTACTACAACACTGATTATTATTGCTATCAAGTTTCCAACGTGGTATCGTTATTTAAAAAGCTATAATCACAGACGTCTCCAAGAAAAAGAGGAATCTGAGATGTTTGAAGAAACATTCACACCTCAATTATGCATGCCCCCACAAGCATCTGAGCCTAATGAAGAGTCTATAGTTGTTTTTGAACAATTCCATCCGTATGTTCCAGAAGATGATGGATTTATTGAAGACAAATATATTGATCCATAAATGTTCACCATATTGTAGACTGAAACTATTTCTGTTATTAGCACAAAGTTGTGCCATTTGTTGTCCTATACATAGGACAAAAATATACACACAATCTGTGTTGTTTGTCATTAGTCAATTTCATGTGATCTAAACTTATTAAGAAAAACATTACAACTCTGATTTAACAGATATTGATATGATGGATTTCTAATGCAATGAATTAAATTTCTGTGGTAATTTATGGCATTTGTTTTATGATGTGTATGTTATCTGTATTTATGTACATAATTAATCTCTGAGAGAATGGGCCTTTAAGAAATAGGAAATATAAATAAAAAATTGTGTAAATAGGAATGCATGCAACAATACAATACAAAAATGTGGTTGTGATCATGGATTACTGCTTTTGTCAATCTGCTCTGCCCTATACCTCTCCCTTCAGAGGCCACTGACTGCACTAACGTCCGTGAGAGAAATTACCCCACACTTAATAAGAGCTGCTTTACAATATTTATGCCAATTCTCGTGACTACTATTGTTTTTTAGTATGGTAAATATATCAATTGTGAAAGGCTTCTTCAAATGATTGAGAACAAACACTGGACAAACTTGAATGTATATGAAAATTCCATCCTACAATTATTATTTTTTAAAAAAATTGAATTTAGATACTTACCTCTGTCTTTCTGTAAATATAATGTCTATGCTCTGAGCTTCACAGTCATTTTGAGCTTTTAACTATTAAAAAAGACAAAATCATTGACAACATCACCATATGTGTAATAAATAACACCTATACTGTAATGAAACATTAGTCTTATGCTTACCAGGTTATAGTCACTCATTACTTCCTCCATATCAGTATTTGTGTTAAGTTTATCTACCAACTAAATCAACAAGAAAGGTTAATTAATTCTTCGTGTAATCTCATATAGTTTGCATAGTTACTGTCAAATCTGCATTGGTTTGAACTATATTAGAGAAACAATAGTTGAAAAGTTATTTACAAACACAATTCAAAATTGTGTCCAATTTTGATACTGCATAATCTAAATATTAAAAGTTATCTGTGAAACAATAACGTACCATATTGTAGTCTGCCAACTGTCCTTGAAATTCTTTGATTTCACTAGCTAAAGATTCTGCTCTAAGAGCACAAGAAAACACAAGATTATTACAAAGCCCAGCAATGAATGGAATCTAAAACAAGCTCAGCTCTACACTTCCAACCCAAAAGTTACTCATAAATATGAATCTATTAAGAACAAGCGTATCTATAGATTTTGATGTGCAGTTTAGCTTACCTTTTTTCATAGGACAGATAGACAGAATTCTCCTGGTTATACATATCAATTTCTTTCTGAAGCTTATTGATTTCTAAAGTAAGCTCATTAATTTTGCCTCTATAAGAAAAGAAATAGGTGATCACGTTAACATGTATACTTTAATTTTTGTTATTACTGAAATTTCATATAAAGTTGAGGTGGTACTTGAGAGAACCAAATGTACTACAAATACTTCATTTTTTTCATTTGACAATAAAGGACTAAGTCAGACATAACAAACTGCCGGCCCGCAGCTGAAACCGTGCCCACCCATTGCCGGCAATGGGGAAAAAGTCATGATACGTCACGCGACATCATATGACGTCGCGAGTTTGATATGTTTGGGCTAAGTAGAACATGCACTAAATTGGATTTGTTCAAGGACCTGCAGTCCTGATTTTAATTTTAAAATAGTTAGTATGTTTAATAGATGCCTTTTAAAATTTCCACATGAGTGTTCTAAAATATGAATTTAATATATAAGAGGATATGTTTATCACTGATCAATTTGACAATACTGTATTATTTTAGGGACAGCTAGTTTTTCCTAGGGTAAGAAATACTACAGGTTTTGCATAGATTTGTTTACAAAAAGGAATGTTTTTATAGTTACCAATCTGCCATTAAAATCATAGAATGAAAATTCTTAATTAGACATAGTTAAGGGTGTTTAATTAGACTACCTCTGCTACCAAGAGCATATGGACAGATGGAAGAAATATGAGTCAAATTTATACATACTGTGAAGTTAAAATGTAGGTTTCTTCACTTCTCTTTTATCTGTGAATTCATTCAATGACTTAGGATTATGTGAAAACAAGATATTGTTTTCCAAACTATGGTTAAACAGATCCAGCTTAGCTACAATCTTATTTTATGACAAAGTTTGGGAGTTTCATGTGATCATGTGACATGCAAACAAAACCAAAAAATCTGGCTAATCATACCATATTACCTTTGCCTATTTTATTCTCTTAGGCTTACTGTATTATCTGAGCCAAAAATAGTTTATCTATTTTGGGTTTGTGGAAAAGCAAATCCTGAAAGCAACATTTTTTACAAGTTACATACACATTAAACTCATTATATTCAAAAGTTTTGGCCTACCATAAGCATACATAACCATGGAAAAGAAATACAAAGATGCCTTGAAAAAAGTAGCTCAAAAACATGCAAAGTGTGGAGTCTGGCCACCTCATACTTATATAGTAAGGGAGTGATGGCAATTTAAAATAAGCTAAAGAACTAGGTTTAGCCAATGGAAGGAAATGGAAGGCAAAGCATACAATACAGAAAAATAGAAAAGAAAGTATAATTGCTACTTGGATGGTAAGAATAGCTGGATGGTAAGAATCTCTTTTATTTCATGAAGAAATGAAATACTGAGAACGTATTATGACCCTACACCCTCCTCATTAAATATCTTGTTTGATACTATATTTTTTTCAAATATGGACTACTATACAACATTTGAACTAACCTTATCCCGTCTTACTAGTGACAAATTCTTCCACATACCTCAGCACTCCAAGGTAATAGGATTTATCCATAATTTGTCTTTGTGGACCTAAGGAAAAATATATTATTCTGATATGACAAAAAGAGTTATTTAATTAAAAATAGTGAAATGATTCTTGCAAAACCACACTGTCACATAGAGAAGATATCTATTCACTAACTTTTTTCTAAAAGTTCAATGATAATATATTATTTATACATTTAGAAAACTCTAGGCCCTGGATAAATTTAGTCTGCTCTGACTATCAGGCTCAATCTAGCATTAAACATACTGCTTATTCTATATTATAATGATACATTATTTTAGTCTTTGTTATGGTCAACTAAATACATCATACACTGCCGCTGGGTCCCCATTGCTAGCCTACAGCAGCTCATCTGCTGCTGCTGGCCTATCACTGCTGGCTCACCCCAGCCGGCTCGCCCCAAGTGACTCACTCTGGATGACTCATCCCATGGGACAACTTGCTGCAAGTGAGACAACTGTACTGGGGCGCCAGTGTTCCATCACGGGTCTGGCTTTCCCCTCTGCCTCTTTCTCGTCCTTGCGAGGTGAGTCATCCCACAGTGAGTTGCTCAGGTGAGATAGCCAGGTGAGCCAGTGGTGGCAAGCCAGTGGCGGTGACCCAGCGGGGGGAAATTGTTCCATTCTGTCCTCTGGATCAGCAGTTGTGTATAAACATTCATAATAGTGAAAGAACCCAATCTTGTGATTAAGAATTACAAAAAGACTAGCCTCCCAGAAGGGGCCAATGAAACAAGGGGATGGGCTTTCTTCCAGAGGAATGGTATTAAATAAGGTCTGTTTATATGGTCTCTGTAAGTGGCAGCCTCTTATTGAGGGAACATGTGGCAAGTCTAGCATATTAGATCTAATTAGCGGGCAGATGTTACAGAGGGAATGTGTTCCAGGAGTACCTAGACCTCAAATCCTGAAGAACTATAACAATGACAACCAGCACCTTATATTGTACCCAATGTAAAGTTGTTGGAGTAAAATTGGACCTAATGGAACAGAATCTATATTCCTATTAGATTAGATATTGTTGTATATTGTGTTAATTATTTAATCTTTTAATTTTCATTTGTTTTTAACCTTGTAATGGTTTTAACTTTTGAATGTTAATAAAAAGATAAATGAGGTTAATGTTCTTGTACATATGTCAAAATACCTTTCATTCCTGTTTTCATTCCACTTAATCCTTGTTGTGTCACTGGACGGTCTGCAACTTTAATCTGAGAGGACAAAACCACACCAGTTCCTATCGATCCACCACGTGTACCAGGCCTGGATGTACCTGGGGGAATCTGATACAGAGATCAAAATCAATAGGAAAACATAATTAAAATAGCACTCTCAAAGAACAGGATAGTCAGTTTGTTCCGATTTGTAATCTATGAATAAATAGGCTAAGGTACTGAAATTTAAAAAATCATAGCTACTAATGTTATATATAAAACAGATTCTTTAAAGGAAGAGCAGTTATAGAAAGGCAGAGATTGTGTAAATGCAAAACATGTATATTAGCTTTTATACTGTGGGAAATAGCTAGTGATATGATATGGGGAAAGAAGTAGTGAATTGAAAAGAATTTAAGATCCTATTGCTCATATGATTAAATGATTTCGTCTAAAATCTCTTCAAGATAATGTGTTAACTCACTAAGCTAAGCCATTTGTTTGTTAAACTATGGTTACTGAATACATCCTAATTTGTAGACCCTGGTTCACAAACCATACTGGCAGGATTCACATAACACCCAACCAAAGACAAAAAGCACATTTATTCCTTACAATTGCCAAGGTACTGTTTTAGACCTTTATGCATACAGAATAGAGTACTATGCTAATTGGAGTTAAAAAAGGGATAGTGGTGGCCAAAGAAAAGTGTGACATCAGAAAAGTCAAGCTATAGCTCACCTAAACCTAATCAGGTTAGGAAAATTCCCATGATATTGGCACACAATTAGCTACAGGGAGTATATTTCAAAGTAATCTCCTTGATACAAAGAAAACATATAGAACTGTCTTAATATCATTTGCCTACCAAAACATATCGGTGCCTACCATATATCTAAATTGGAAAGTGTAAACTCTGATTCCTTGGTTTTTGAATAAATTAATATTAACTTACCCCTGCACCAAGTAATGCTGCAGATGGAGGTCGTAATGAGGATGAAGGTGGCCGGACACCCAGGCCTATTCGTGAAGAAGGACGTGCTGTAGGAGGTTTATGATTACTTGCCATTTCTGCTCTTTTCTTCTAATTTCTTTCTAGAAAAAGACAGTAACATTTTATCCAAAATCCTCCTTAAGGAATAGATAATTCTGATCTACCCAATAAGCCAATTATTTTTAAGAAAATAATAAAATGCTCTTCATATTTTAAGTTAGAATCACAAATCTTGACAAAGTGTGTATGTGCAATAAGGGAGCAATCTTTAGGAAAAGAAATAGTTTGTCTCAATTGCATTGGGAGCAATTACTGAAAGGGGCAATGTTAAAAATAAACAAAAAATTACACAAATTGATAAAATGATGCACATCAATGCTGAAATTTGGCTATTTGTATAGTGATGATTATAAATCACAGGGGGTATCTAAATGACAAAACATGGTCTATTAAAGAAGGAATATATTGAGTGAACATTTTTTAAAATTATAAGTGAATGAATAAGTGGTTATTTTGCACATTGTATAATTACAGTATTCCTGGCACTTAGGTTTACCATACTGATAAACGTTTGCATTATTCTGAACTGTTTGCTATTTCTCAGATTTTCAGGAAGGGAATTTAACAGTATACCTACCTTCCTGGAAGGATTTGTGGATTTATTAATGGATTATTAAATCCTTCCATTCCCCACCATTCATCAGAACGGAAGAAACAAGGTAAAAACAAAGAAAGTCTTGTCTTTTGAAAAGCACCTTTGGGACAACCAAAATAACATTTAAAAACATTAATAGGTCTGTCCCAGTCAGAACCAACCAAGAACAGTGGTGGCCCAAGCCTATCTAAGCACCTTGCTTACATCTTCAAGGGAAACAAATGAAATGATTTTATAGCATTTTGGCTTCACAGTAGGAGAGTCAGGGCCCACCTGTTCCTCTTGCTAATTCTGCCATAGCTGGCTGCAGATTCCCAAACTTGAAGGGATAGCAAGACAAGAATGTATAGGATGGGGTACGGTGGGAAGTGGCTTTTTAACTTCCAGTTCTCCCATCCCATAGAAAAATACATCCATGGGACCAGATAAATGTTGAGGAAGAGAAATGTGTGAGGGGAAGTTACCTTCCCTTGCGCCAAGCCCAGCTGTCCACCCAGACTTGACAGACCAACACCCAACCTGTGGAACTACATGCAGCAGCTTTCTGGAAACCAACTGAGCACATGTCAAAAAGCACTCCAGTGGATTAAGCACTGCAGAGATTAATCCACTAAGTAAAGGCAGTTTTTTTTTGTGGGAGGAGAGGTTGGAGAGGTGTCCAGCTGAAGAGCCATTTTCCCCCTTATTCCTTTCCATCAGCATTCCTTGCAGTAAAGAAAGACAAGACTGCTCCCTCTCAAGTGTGGCAAGAGAAGCCAGAATGGAAGAAAATAACTCCTTTGGTGACAGTTCTTCAATCCAACAAAATAACTCACAGAAAACCTGCAGGTCTGCCAGAAGCTGACACTAAAAGTGTTTCTCACTGAGCTCCCCATTTGGTAGAGGATTATTTGGTATAGAATTGTTTTGTTTTGTTTTGTTTCATTGCCGTGGCAGAAGAGAAGAAGTTCTTTAAGCTTGCATATATTTCTGCCAGCCTCCATACCAGATAACACAGGTAGTCCTCGACTTACAACCACAATTGAACCCCAACTTTATGCTGCTAAATGACACATTTGTTAAGGGAGTTTTGCCTCATTTTACGACTTTTCTTGCCACAGTTGTTCAGTAAATCACTGCAGCTGTTAAGTTAGTAACAAGGCTGATAAGTGAATCTGGCTTCCCCATTGACTTTGCTTGTCAGAAGGTTACAAAAGATGCTCATATGACCCCAGGACACACTAGCTGTCATAAATATGAGACAGTTTCCAAGCATCTGAATGTTGATCAGGTGATTGGTGAATACATCCTATGCAAACAAAAGGTCTTTGGGTGCTCTCCATCATTTTTTTTTAAAGTGACAGAAAAGCAACCCAGGCAGAGCTTATTTGGCTCAAGATATGCAACAAAATCTGCCTAGAAAACTATGAATTACATTTTGTATTTTGTAAGCCTAGTGCAGGGGTAGGCTGAGCCGTGCTGGCTCAGGAATTCTGGGAGTTGAAGTCCACGAGTCATAAAAGAGCCAAGGTTGCCTACCCCGGCTAGTGGTTTGTTGAATAAACTATCCAGACAAGTGATGCGATTTATCGCGACGGGACCTCATTTCACCTCAAGGCTTTACCATCTGATTCCATTACACACCAGTCTATGCCCTCCATTACTATTCAAGAGCTATGCCGAAGAAAAGCCAAATAGCAAAAATCGGGGCGATGCTGATACGGACTTGGAGGTGGTGCAGTCTAGGGGCGGCTCCCCAGAGAGGCTCAGGCAGACGAATCTAAAGACGCCGCTTTTGCTCCGCGCTTCGACTTTCGGCCTCTTACCTGCCTCCCAGCACGCGCGAAACGCAAAGGCAGCGGTTGCTGCCAGCCAACTCCTTTACGCGCGCGGCGCCCGTATCATAGCAACGGGAGGCAGCTCGGTTAAAGCGCCGTTTTCCTTTCACCATTCCGGAACTTGGACAATGTATTTATCGCGAGATTTCATCTCTGCCCCCCCCCCGCTATAATATAACATGTGTTTATTGCTTTACTAGATTTATGTCCCCCCCATCTCGTCTGGAGGCGACTCTAGTTGATAATATAATATAAATATAAATATCATACGTCATAACATTAGTATAGCATAATAAATATATATTAGATAGTATATATGATATATTAGATGATACATTAGATAATACAATATTAGATAGATTCACGAGAATATTTGCTCATTTAATTATCACTTTTCCTATGTACACAAATGCGATCATTTCTTCATATACACAACTCCACTTTTTAACAACTATCCTTTTTTTTTTAATAGCACATCTGGTACCCTAATGATGCTGTGGTTGCTATATTGTCAGAGCTATTGTTCTGAAAGTAAATTCACTACTCATGTTAAAAAAAGTGATGCATCGCATAAGAACGTTGTAGCAAACCTAAATCTTGTTATTGTTAGTTGCGAAGTCGTGTCCAACCCATCGCGACCCCATGGACAACGTTTCTGAAAGGAAGTTAAGGTTTATTCATCGCAAAACAGCTTGGACTTCAAGCCAGTTTGGACTCCTGGCAACTGCCTGAATAAAGTCCCTAAAGGGTTTTTTTGGCAAGATTTCGGAAGTGGTTTGCCTTTGCCTGCTTCCACCGAACCACCAGCACACCCACTACTCTTCCCTGTTGCCAAAATCCTACGTTGTGTTCGTTATGGTGGTGCTTACTGACTAATAACAACGAATATAAATGCAAGATCCCGTTAAAAAGAAAGCTTAAGGGCGACCTCACTCCAGCTCCGCAGTTCTATTTAGGATCCCTTCCGTTCTTATTGATCTAAGGCATCTTGGGAAATGTAGTCCTCGTCTGTTTCTCGCCGCAGCGAATTGTTGTTCGTCCGGGTTTTCCGGCGCGCGGTGCTGACGTCATATCGGGGGGGTAGAAAGTGGGTGGGAAGAGGAAGGGAAGCGGGTGTGGTGACGGCTGCTGCTGCTGTGTCAGTGTACCTGAGTGCTGGCGGGATGGCCGCTCCGGTAGGTGTTTACCGGCTCCGCTGCTCCCTGGCTGGGCACGAGCTGGACGTCCGGGGAATCAGTTGCTGCCTCTTCCCGACAGGGTCGTTCGTGTCTGTATCCCGAGACCGGACGGCGCGTGTTTGGGCGCCGAACAGGTTAGTAGCAACTGAGAGGGGAAAGCCCGAGAGAGTGCCGGGAGTTGTGTGTGTGTGTGTGTGCGCGCGCGCGCGCGTCCTATAGGGCCTATTGGGGCTGGGGGCGCTTGCCTTGCAGGCATTGCGTGCAGTATGAGATCTGATGGACTTTTTTTCCCCCGTCGATCCACTGAGGGAGGGATCGGACGGGAGTTGAACAGTTAGCCGGTTGATTCTTAAGAGGTTATGGCAACACCCGGATCTTGGCTGAAAATCTGTCCATATTACTACTTTTTCCTGTTTTACTGGATCAGAGGTTGATGGTCCCAGATAGTTTGGACTACAGTTTTCATCCGATCTAGCCAGCATAATAATTGGTAGGTGCTTCTGAGAATTGCAGGTCCAGACATCAGGAGGATTGTACTTTTCCTGTCTTCGTAAACAGGCCATAGTGTTGTTGTTTTAAAAAACCAAAAACAAAAAACTTTTGTATATGCTCATCCATTGTGCGTATGTAGATTAGTCCCAGCAAATGCATCCTAGAGATTTATCTGCCTTTATGGAAATGGGAACCAATGTTTTTAGTCTTCTTGTGAACACACCAAAAATAAATTGACTGATAGGGCAAGTATGTTCAATTTCAACCAGAAGCAGCACCAAATCTGGCTTTCACAGTGAAGATGGAACTTTTCTATGTTGTAATATAAAGTCCAGTCTTCTGAAATTAATAATGACTGCCTTAGGATTTCTTACAAATATACAACAAAAATACAGTGCTCATGTTACATGCATTGTCAGTATAATTTCATTATTAGAAATTATTCTCAGATTTGCTTCTCAAATATTTTCCCAAACTATTTGCTTAAATATATTGCTGTAAGCTTGTAAGTCCATTTTTTTTAGAGAATAGTGGTTTTCAGAGTAATAAACAAATTAGGACTAGATGTACATATGAAAGGCTAGTAGTTATTTGATGCATTCCCTGGAGAAATAGAAAGTATTGTGCCATTGGAGAAATGGAAACTATGCTGACTAAGGAAGTGAAACCAAAAGCAACATGTTTCAGCTTATAAAGTTTAAATTAGGTGCTTGTGGAGTTATGATTTACAAAGAATCAGGGTTTTTTCAACACAAATTAGAGTTTTGTGGAAAATAAAAGATCACAATTTAAAGATTTTTAGCCTTCTGATCTTAGTTGCTGAAATATACATTTTAGTTGCAACACAGCTATTTTATTTTGTTTTTAGCAAAAACTCTGTTCTTGGATTGCAGAGGAAAATAGGAACTATGACACATTAATAAAGTATACTAAATTTTAGTTTTCTGTTTCAAAAGATTTCTCTAATCTCTTTAGTATATTAAGACATAGAAGTTTTATTTGATTTTGGTTGTAAATTTGGTATTTATTTTTAGTCCAAACAGAGGATTTCATGAAATACACTGCTTGAGAGGCCATTCCAATTTTGTTTCTTGTGTGTGTGTCATCCCTCCAAATGACTTTTACCCCCATGGATTAATTGCTACTGGTGGTAATGACAGCAATATTTGTATCTTCACTATGGACAAGTCTACACCACTGTATGTCCTTAAAGGTCATAAAAACACAGGTAAGAAAAATCTGTTTTAACTATACAATTAAGCAATTTATGTGTGATTTCTAGTGGAAAGGCATAAGGTAGCTGTTACATACAGATATATTGTGTTAGGAGAAATATCCAAATGTTTGTCACATGTAATTCATATTCTGAATTGATTAATTTGGCAGGGTATTATGAATGTACCAGTCATGTTTTATGAATAAAGCTAAATATATAAACAATATTAATTTGTACTATTGTTCAACATTTTATATTAATATATTTTTATAAAGGATTTTTCATTTGTCAGTTTAGCCTTGTAAATAGGACAGATATTTAGGGAATGGCTAAACTAACAATGTTATATTGATGCTGCATTATGCCCATGACCATAAATTCTAGCATTATGCAGTGCATCTTTAAATTAAATATTTTTGTTTATTAAAATACTTTTAAGTTTATATTTCTACTTAGAAATATCCAGAGCGACATGTTAAAGGAAGGGGGAAAAGCAGTTTGAATTCAGTACTTCGTAGGAATGAGAGAAAGAGTGATAAACAAAATGAGGTGGGGGAAACTAACACATAGTGTTAGTAGCTGTATGGAAAGGAAGTTGCTTGTTTAGGTATTTACTTTGGCTGTGATTTTGTTGGTTTTTTAGCATAGTTTTTATTGCTACTTCATAAAGGAAATAAATATGAAAATCAGAATATTGGATTTTGTTCTGATGTATCTTTAGGATTGCAATAGTTATCTGAAAAGCTACATCTCAGCTGTTCCTGATTGCTAGCATATCAACACTTTTCTAAGTTTGACAATGCTGATTTCTCTTCTAGTTTGCAGCCTCTCCTCTGGGAAATTTGGCACCCTACTTAGTGGTTCCTGGGACACGACAGCTAAAGTCTGGTTGAATGACAAGTGTATGATGACGTTACAGGTATGGAAGCTCCTTTGCTGCCATTAGTGAACCAACAGATAATGATATGTATGTGTGTGTGTTGCTATGTACACACTTCAGAAAACACAGATGGGCTCTGGCAGAGAAAATATCCTTTTTTTATAGGGCCACACTGCAGCAGTCTGGGCTGTGAAGATACTACCTGAACAAGGTTTGATGTTGACTGGTTCAGCTGATAAAACTATTAAACTGTGGAAGGCAGGTAGATGCGAGAGAACATTTACTGGTAGGTAATTGCCTATACAGTTTTTAAATACAAAATTGTGAGAAACTTGATTTTTTTATGCAAAAATGGGCACTGTTCCCTATGCTGAATGTTGAGATACAGAAAGGACAACTCTTGTTTTGTTAATAGATACAAGCATTAGAATATTTTATTTTACTAGCCTGGTTCAGCTTTTGTGTACTGTATTGTTGGGAAATAACTTGTGTTTCAATTCAGATTTTTGACTGCTAGTCATATCAGTGTTTGATTTTTTACAGTACACTCTGTACTGTAAACAATCTTGATTGGGTTATCAAAAAAAAGCTTTTTACATTTAATGAATAATGTGCAAGAAAATAACTGGGTACATTTGATGGATGAGTGAATTGATAGCACTGAGTTAGATTTATAGAAAAAAAAAATCTAAGAAAACTTAGAGTTTAAGTATCTTCTCACATAAGTGAGTTTAACCCAAGGATTCACTTCTGAGTCCTTTCACATAATAACATTTCCATTGAAGGTAGTTAGCCTACTGCCTGAGTAAGCTGATTTGCAATTCATGTATTGTTTGTTACAGTTGGAACAGAGAATAGGAAAATGATAAAATAGGCACCAGGCACTAGAAAAATATTTTTCCTTGGGATAACTAGCTTAACGTAAATACTGAGAGCTAGTGTACACTAACAGGCACATGGGAATTATTTTGTATGTAGCAGAAGGCATGTATGTATGTTTGGGAAAAATAATTTTAAAAAAGGTTTGGAATTTTATTGTAAACGAATAAACAGGTGTGGTTAGAATCTAAAGATATGTGAAGATTTCTAGCCCTTTCTACTATTGTGGAAGGATATTCCACGTTTGACTTTGCCACTAGAATGGCAATTATTCA